AAAGGACATGGAAAGTGGGTGGAGATGTGGCCAATAAAGTGGGTGGGGTCCGGTCCGAATCATTGATGCCAAACGGAAATGTGCGCACTTTCAAGAAGTGCACTAAAAATGGCGACGAGCACTTCCGTTGATGGTTCGTCGGGCCCTAGATGGGCACTGTTCTGGTCTTCGGCACAGTGACTACTAAAGCATAAAGTCCCGGGAAACTTCTTCATGTCAACAAAAAGTGTCTGTAAACAAGGCAACTAATATCGATGTGGGAGGTGGCACAGCAAGGTGAAGCTTTACCTTATTCACACAGAGAAAACTTTGTTTTTAACTATCGGGGGTGTCCCAGAAATATTTACATATTTAAAATCTACCGTTTAGGTGTTTAAAAGAATGGGGTAAATAATGTTGGGCTAAGTAATGTTGGTCTAAACTTTACAGAAAAAATAGATTATTTATGATATCTAAGTTAATTGTTAATTTGGTGTCGTAATTAAATATCTTGAGAACACACCAAAAGAAAATGTCCTTTTAAAACCAAATTTTCTGACATGTAATCCATCGGAATGTTTCAATCCATGTATTTCCATATAATCTTAACTCTTTTTTTAAATCGGTCACTATAACTTAGTTTATAACACAATTGACATTTATTTATTTAAATGAAATTTTTTGGACTGTAAAATATTTATAGAACTAGTACTACTGGGAAATACAAAAACCGACACCGAAATAAATTGGTAAATCAAACCACTGTAGAATAGAAACTGAGACAGCGACTAACTGGCCTTAGCAGAAAAAATAGAGGAAAAATAGAGAAAAAATTGAGGAAAAGCAGGCGGAGGGAAAACAAATGTTCGCATGAAAGTTGAATGAAAGCTGCAAGCCAGACCAGACTGAAAATCAGGAACGCAGCACGAACACCAAAGAGGAATCGCAATTGCAGGCCACGTCCGAGTTGAAGTCCGTGTTTTCACTCTGGACACTTCGGACAGAGGAGGAAAACGGTCGGTGTTCCATGTTGTTGGGTATGTAAACAAGCGGCGTTTCTCACAAGTAATAGTAATTCGAAATTGCATTTAAAGTGCCTTAAACGCTTGACATGAGACCGGGCTTAATTAACACCGCTTGTGCGCACAACATGGCGTATGATTAATATGGCAACAAGCCAGTAATGAACACCGCTTTGGCATCATCACAGGAATGGACATCCTTCCTGGACTTTTGGGCGGTGGCTAATTGCATAACAGCGGAACAGCAGAACAGCAGCTCCGGAACATTACGACCGGGTTCACTTGAGCAGAAACGAAGCGTTTGGCCTGGAAACAGGCAATAAAATTTGGTCAAAACGCCAAGGCATATAGATAAGCGTCAAACAGTTCACACATTTTCATACCACCCTTCGCCGCTGGAAATGCGCTCGAGCGTGAATATTAAACGTTTGCTTAGAAATGTGAAGGGAACTGCGATATTACCCATTTCATCCCTCAACTTTTATCCAGGCGACAGTGGAGCCAGTGTTTGGGCAAACTTTTCGCCTGAGCAAAAGTTCTGGCCAAAGGCAAAAGTTTGCCAGCAAAATGGAAATGGAAACGGAGAGCCAGATATGTAAATACCCATGCATGAAAACGGGAAGTTGCAGATAGCTTCGCTTTGGTTAAGCAACGAGCTGGAAGATCGCTGCCCAGCAATTAGACCAGTTCACTACGATTTTAATTTGAGATTATGGCAGACACAAACCAATTCTAAGTAAATTTAATCACATTTTTAAAATATTCTGGTCTTTGAAATAGCTTAAGAAAATATGAAACATGTTTCAGTAAAGTTAATACTAATTTGTATTCAAGTGAAAAACATAAAAACCTTATTTGGTTGCATTAATTTAAAAATATTACACATTTTGGAAGATCCTTTTTCAGCTTGGCTAATTTTTTATATATAAACTAAAATATTTGTATTTTTTTAAAACTATTTTACATTTAAAAAAAACATTTATATATAAAGCCTGTTCGTTTATATATGTAAGTCACAATAGTGTTTCAACTGTTTGGGCAATAATGTTTTATCCATTAACTTATTCAAAACATTAAAAGCCTATAATTAAAATCAAACATAAAATGATCAAATAAAATGGTTGACATAAAATTACAGCAGAATTTTCAACAATATAGTTTAGAATAAATGGATTGCGAGACATTAAGTTTTCAATATACATTTCTGTCTGCTTCCTTAATTTAAATAGGCAATTTTCCTTAATTAAATGAGTATATTCTGGAAATGTTATCCAAAAACACAACGCCAAGGACAACTTTGCAGGGTGGTTGATTCCTATACATACATATGTATATACACATATTTGACTGCCCAAAATTGCTTTGCTTTGATATGAAAAGGTGAGCTTGGCAGTTCGGTGGCCTGGCAATCCGGTTTTGATCTTTGCAGCGTAATAATTCCCCTTCGAAAGCCGTCTCGGTCCTGCGCTAATCACAGAGCGTGTCCTTGAAAAGGACCTCTCGCCATTTCACAAGAAAAACATTACTAAATCCTTCGATGCCAGTCGCAGGCTCTTTAAATCGCAAATTGAGCTGCATACCCGTTTTGTGCATTAATATGCAAAGCACGCGGCACGTCATTAGTGGAGGCTTCTGTCGAAAGGGGGTGACTCCGTGGCCAGGATTCTGGTGTGGTAGTGGGATTGGGTGTTGGTGAGTCAACATAATGAATTATGCCACGCCTAACGAGTACACAGCAGCCAGCCCGGCCTGGCACAGAAATCCAATAAAAATTCAATAAATTCCACACAATACCAGCCACAGCTGCGGCTAAAATACTAGCTATTAGGAAAGTAACTGTGTTTAGTCATAAGTTAGCTATTAACACATAGAATTAATGAAATATTTATTCCCTTAACTAGGGGTTAAAAAATCTGTTTAATTATATAAACTGGGCATAAAGTAATTCCCTCATCAGAACTAAAACTTAAATTATTTCAAATTCCTTTATAAGTCTTTAAAAATATGATGATTGCTGATATATTTAGGCTTTAAAATTTGAAAATTTTTTCTTTAAAATAATGGAAATGTCTCAAAATATCTATAATTTTCACCGAACCTGTATGTCCTGAGTAAAAAAAAGAGAAGGGAGATTTAGGGTATGGTTGAGTTGAGGTCTTGCACGTGGAGCCCAGCGAGAACTAGTACTGGCCTACTCCCTCACAACCGTCGACAGAAAAAAGCCACCATAGGTCCGAGTGGAAAGAAAATACAAAAAAATACACATATTTTACTTTTCAATTTTCTTTGCATTGTGGGAGGCGCTGAAGGATTGGGAGTGGTGGTGTCTGCGTGAGAGGCGCCTATAAATAGACAGTGGGAATGGAAAATGCCAAAAGCGACAACCGGAAGTCGCAGGATCCCATGATATATGGCCTCGAATTATGGGAGTGTGGGCAAACGAGTGAGCTGCGTAAGAAACCAACTACTGAAGTGGCCAACAAATTGAAAACAAACAAAATAAAATAAATGACCAACCTTTTGGGTTGCCATTGAAATATTACTCGCATTAAAATATGTTGGATCGACCATATATGTATATGGGTGAAGCAATCTAGTAAATTGTGGCCATATAAAGGTCCTACTGCACTCATATTGATTTTTTATTCAGGGAGCAAACCGAAATTTATTGAATGAAAAAATGGGCTTCAGGATAATATATAAATAGTATTTTATGATTTCATTACTTAAGGTGCTTTATTAGTGATATCTATGAACAACAATATGCCTAGCTTAACACTTTATGCTCCAATGCATAAATGTGAGATAAAGAACACCCCGTATACTATCATAGACCCAAACTATTAAGATTATATCTTCATCCACAAGCTATAAAGACCTTCTATCTTTTCCTTTTCGCTTTGACCGCTCAATATTAAATTTCATAAAAATTGTGCGTGCCTATTTCCGTACCCGACGCACGCCCACTTCCCACCATCTGCTGGTCGTAATTAATTTACGACAAAAATAGGGTTAATATCGCCCAGGACTCTGGGATATAGCGAAACGATGGCCCGAGATGGCCGGAGATGGCCCGACCTCCCGGCTCCATATCGGAGATTCCCCGCTCCTGTCAACACAGTCATCAACTGTCTGTCGCTCAAATTGCTGTCACTGCTGCGGACATGGACGCGGATGCGGATGCGGATGAGGATGAGGATGTGGATGCGGATGCGACGGCGGAGCGGTGGATGCGGTCGCGGACCTTTTTCCTTCCTTTTTTGAGATGCCTTCAGGCAAATGATGCCTATTTGATCGGGGCCAAAGGATAAACAAAACGAGCGAGCAACGCACAGCAGCAAACAAAACGGAAAGAAGTAACTTGCAAATTTTAAATACCCAGTATGTCACAATACTCTTCATTTTATTAATTTAAATCACATTCACATTCTAAAACTTGCTTAATGGTCTGAAATAATAATTGTTAATTATATCAGAGCATAATTTATAAAACCTTAAACAAACTCTTGATATTTTAATCAAGGTGTTCGAAACATATGTATAAGGATCATTGTAAGAGTCTACTAAAATTCTTTCAAACAATTGTTAATACTAATACAAGCCAAACGAGAAAACATGGCAAATATTTTAGAAAAAATACACCTTTTGTTTTTTACTACTATTGCAATAAATCTTAAGAGTTAGACTTTAGGGTGTCCAAAAAAAAAGCTTGAAACTATAGTTGCTGTTTATTATTAGTAGTGAAAGTCAAAGAACCATATATAAAAATAAAGAAATAAAACCTAATATTCTTTGAAATTCCCAAATCGAGATCCATTTTTCCTTTAAAACAAAAGGTTAATTGGTATACCTTAAACTTTACAAGTACTGGGTAAAAAAAGAGAGGCTCAAAATAAAATGGGAAAACGTTAAATGAAAAGGAAGCAAAGGCATAGGCAAAGGCAAATGGTCGCCCCTGCCAGGAGTCCAAAGTCAGTAAGACAGCGACGACATACTAACCTAAAGTTATAGGGCCTGGGTCAGCAGTTGCCAGTTACGCCTTTTCCATGGTTAACCAATTCACTTCTGTCGCTCGCGTTCTTTCTGGCTGGGTGTATTTATTTTATGCCGCTTTCTATGTAAATTTTTATGAGCGCGCGCATCAAATAAAATTAATTCCAAAAATTGTTGTTGATTTTGTATCGCTTGTATTTTGGTTGGTTGCAGTCGGGTTTAGCGTGCGCTTATCGCGGGATTTATGCAGTGGATTTTTCGTGGTAGTAGTTGTTCGCTGGTAAATTAAATTATGCGCCACTCTTTTTGATATTTTCATTTGTTGATTTTCAGTATTGATTTTGCTTAAATTGAATTTTATCTTTGGGTTTCAGATGGCGAGTAGTTGGCAAGTCGACGTCAGTTGAATCAGGAAAACTTTATTGATATTTTCCAATAAAAAGAAAAATAAATTAAATCTTCTGTTATCACTACTCTTAATATACAACATCTACGTTGTCTCTTCTTTCCACTATAAATGTGACAAACAAACAATGCTCTCTAAAAAAGTCATCAAAATTTTATTTGCGCTAAAAGAAAATCCCTTGCTGACAGACATAAATAATTGTTTATACTGCAGGTTCAAGAGGTTAAATAATGCAATCAATATCTAGATATTTTTTACTGCTGCTCTGCTGCTAAAAGTATGCAATCAAAAGTTTAAGGATTGCAATTTCTGTGAGAGTTTTCCGGAAACTTTTAAGGGCAACATTTGAAATGGAAAAAAGAAAAATGAAACAGTTAGTCAAGATTGCCTTTAAGTGTAAAAAAAATAAGCAAACATTTTTCCTGTGTAAAAAGTTTTATAAATGATGAAATGCTTATACATATGCCGAAATACTATCAAATAATAACCTTCGTCTTTTTTTTATACATGTTTATAAATTTAAGAATACTAAACTATCATTTTCCTTTGTTTTTTTTAAGCTTATGTAATTTAAGCTTATGTACGTGAATTTCCATTTAAAGTCATATGATACGATGTTTAAATATTTCAATTCCTAGTTAAAAATGATTAAAAATGAATAAATTAATATCTCCTTATTTTTTAAATCATTTGTTTTCATTAAATGACTTTTTAAAAACTTTTCCCTGCCCATTTTTTGTTGCCAATTATGAAATTTAGCCAATTTTGCTGCACTCCAAAAAAGTTGATTAAAGCCAAGGAGTGGAGGCCAAAAAGAAGAGCCATAAAAAGTCCAAGGCGCTAAAACTTTTTCCGAGTTAAATAGAATCCTTCGCTTCTCTCGCATGCACCAACTCCTGCTGCTTTTTTATTCCTTCTTTCTGCTACACGCGCTGCTTTCAAAATAACTCTAGGATACACAAAAAGACATCCTGTGGCCTCGAATGTGTCTCTGTATGTATGTGTGTCTGGGTCTGTGTGTGTGGGAAAGGTGAAACTTTGGAACTCCTTGTTGTTGCTGCTCCTGCCGCTGTTGATAATTGAGGAGTACGAATTGGGCTCGAAAGGCGAACGGCAAATTAACGAGGAATCGAAAACGAAACGAAACGAATGCGAAAACGAAACGGGAATGCACGAGAAATGCGTATAAAAATATATATTTTGCTCATAAATTAAACGATTTGCACACTAAAAGCGGGTAGACTAACACGCGCGCAAAACTAACGGAGCGGCGTCTCACACACAGACACACTCGCATATATCCTGGCAGGATTTCGTCCTGTATATGGGTATGTGTGCGTGTGTATTAATGCCGCCGCAGAGCTAAGCGCGCAAAAACCGACAGATACACGAGCATTTAACACCCAAAAAATGCGTGGCGCATGCTGAAAAGCTGCTCCCTTCGAGCATGTTAAAAAAAACTGCCCGTTACGCCAGTAATTTTCCTTTTTTCTTGACTTATTTCACCACCACGCGTTTTTCAGCATTTTTCACATACTCTCCGTTTTTAGCAATTATTTTCAATTTTTTTCGGTTAGGAGGCACTGGATCAACTTTGTTTTCCCGTGGCAGCGCCCACAATCGAAGCGTGTGCGTTCGCGTTTGTGTCCTGTACTCAATTGTACATTCTCCGAGTTCCGCCAGCACCTTCACATCATAATCCTTGCCATTGTGTTGCCGATGCGAGTGCGCGCGTTAAGTTGTTGATTCCGCAAAAGCTCTCTCTGTGGGTCCTTTCGCTCTCCGAAAGTCCTTCATTGAGTCCCTGCTTAAAAGATACCGGTGATTATCGGTGACTCAAACCTAAATTCCTAAATTTTAACCGAAAGATCCATAAGGATTATTATTTCACAATAATATGGTTTCCTCTTGATATCAAGACTATTTCTGTTAAGGCTATATAATAGTTAGCCTTTTTTGATAAAGATTTATAATATTCAAACTAATAACCCTCAATTATCTTTTTTAAAACAAATGAAAACGCGATAACTAGGTTTTAGAATTTACTTAGAGCTTTAAATTACAAATGTACATGCGTAATTATGGTATACAAGGATCAGTTAAATAGACACCGTCACAACTGCAGCACAACAACTTTGTCCTGGATTGGTTGGCAGAAGAGCAATATAAAAATAGTCATATATCTCACACTTCCCTAGAAATGCTCTTAATAGCTCAGAATGTGGCATGGTTTCGTATAAAGTACACGTCGTACTCCTTCTCTATCCACTTTATCAGATTATCCACGTACTTGATCACGGTGGCTTTGTCTACAACCGGCTCGAATACAGCGTACAATTCATAAGTTCCGGTGGCCCAGGCCAACACCACCTCGCGCTCTTTGACCTCGTAGATGAGCTTCAGCGGCCGCGATCCGTTGTGGATGCGGTGCAAAAGGTCGCAGTAGATGGCCTCAAGGCTTTCCAGCTCCTCGAGAGACTTGTACGGATGCCTAAGCATGGGACAAAGCAGTTGGGCCGTACTCTTCGGCTTATACAGAAAGTGCCGCAGCTCGGGAATTCCCACAACCTGTTGGTACAGTTTTGCATTATACGGCTGTTGCAGCTCCTTGTTGATGGCCTCCAAGCAATGGTTTTTGCGCAGCTTTTCCGTTATCTTTGCCTTGGCCTCTGACAGCGTGAAGAAGGCGTCCCTATCCACGGATAGCAGAAGCAAACAGGCTTGGCAATCATTCGCTAGATACGAAACATGCGCATGCAGATAGCCATTCATATCGAATTTGGGCAGGCAAATGGGCGACCAGTTCTCGGAGCTCTTAAACGACTCGGAGCACTCGATCAGGTTGAAGATCAGTCGCAGATCAGCCGGGTGTATTGAGTACTTCTTCATGCGCACCAGTGCTATGAGTTTGTTATTGGCTATTAGCACGGCAAACACCAGATTCTTAATCTTCGAGCAGTTGCTATGGATGGCGCTGGTAATTTGCGATCGTACCGTTGTGGGCAATGGGAAGACGAGTATGGAGTTGGTCAGAAATGTGAAGATGTTGTTGGACACTAAGAAGAAAGTATGGAATTATTAATAATAGATATTTTTGACTTATAATCTTTTAAAGATTTTACCCTTGGCACTACTGCTATCATTGGCCAGCAGATTGTAAAACAATCGCTCGCTGCCGGAGAGCAGTCTCCTTAAATCGAAGTTTTTGCGCTTCTCGAAAATCTTCGTCATGTGTGAGTACGTCAATATTGACAGTATTTGATTGTAGACATCACTTTGAAAATAAAAGAAAACCCAATTAGTTGGCATTATTATGATAAATCGGCAAGATGACTCACCCTAGTTGTAATTGTAGCTGCTGGACACTCATGTTGCTCCTGGTGGCAGCTACAAGGATGAGGGAGCTGCGCTGCATGAAGGCGAACTTAATACCGGCCGCGTGTATGGATGTGATGGCATCCTGGCCCAGTTGGACGAAGCTCACTAGTGCCTGGATGACACCAAATAGCGTGGCCAGCTTATCCTCATTGCCATGCAACGAGAATATGGGCTTGCCCGCCTCGCTGAGAATGAAGATATGCTTCTTTTGGCCACGCCAAAGACTATCATGCTGGTAGTCGTACTCCTCCTCCAATCCGCCAATGGAATCCTCGGTTTTGGCGCTCGTGGAGGTACTCAGTGCCAGAGACTCCGCAGATGCAGCCAGTCCCTTAGAATGTTGACCCGGTTCCGGACTCAGAGCACTGGCACTGGTTTCTCGTGTGGCATCCAGCCCATCTCTCAGCTCGGAGATAATACTATGGTTCTGCTGCTCCGCCTCCTGTTCGAAATCCGCCTCCTGATAGAGACTCGTTTCCGGTTCGTTGGCATCCGGATCGCTCTCTGCGTCCAAGTACTCGCATGTGGAGTTTGTGTCTGATCTTATCGACGTCTGTTCTACTTCCATTTCGATTCTTCGTTATTTCGGTCGCTGGAACATTGCAATTTCCCAAAATATTGCAAAAATTACAAGTTTACAACTCAATCAACGAAAGGTTCCAGATGGCTGGTGCTTTCCAACACTTGCAGTGAAACAGATGATGAAACAAACGGGGTATTCCAAAAAACACTGCTGACTTAACTCTTTTCTATATAAAAGAAAAATTTAATTGTTAATAACAATATTTATTTTTGTATTCACAATATTTATTGCTTGTCTTAATTTCATAAAATTACTTATTAATTACATATATGATATAATTTTTTCTGTGTAATTGTAACCCGCTTTTAATGGCACCGCTACTTAGCACTGGAAAACAGCTGTTCCCCCAAACCAGGGAGAAGAGGAAGAACATAGGTTATGAAAACACGAGCTACTCCGAAATGTTGAGAAAATCGTTTACAAACCGTAAGTATTCAATAAAAACCAAGATAAAAAAGAAAGTATAAAGATTTCCCCTTGATAGTGCCCCGTTTTGGCCAGATGTGCGGTCTGCCGCGACGGCTGCAGAGCACACAACCAGAGCAATCTGTTGAAACGGAGCCAGAAGACTTTGCACTGGTCGAACAACGGATACTGAAGCATCCAGACTACTTCCAGGTACACAACCTGTTCACCGTGCGCGATCTCTTCAACGCCCGGGTGCATTATGGCCACAAGGAGGGCTCCCTGGACGACCGCATGCGTCCGTATTTGTTCGGCAGTCGGCTTGGTCATCTGATCTTTGATCTGGACAAGACGGCTTCCCATCTGCGCGATGCCCTCAACTTTGCCGCCCACATCGCTTTCCGAGATGGTATTATCCTATTCTTCAATCGCAACGCCATGAACTCGCACATCGTCGAGCAGAAAGCCCAGGAAGCCGGGGAATTCTCACACACACGCTTCTGGCGCGGTGGCATTTTTACCAATGCCAATGTACAATTCGACGCAGTCACCCGGCTACCCGATCTCTGCATTTTCCTGAACACGCAAAACAACGTGATGGCCCAGCACACGGCCGTGCGCGATGCTGCCAAGATGGCCATTCCCACGATTGGAGTTGTGGACAGCAATTGCAATCCCAATTTGATTACCTACCCAGTTCCCGGCAACGATGACTCCCCAGCAGCAGTAGAGCTGTACTGCAATTTATTCAAGGAAGCCATTCTGCGTGGCAAGCGGGAGCGTCGCCAAATCCTAGGCCTTCCGCCCCTGGACGAATCCCAGCGTCGCAGTCGTAAGCCCAAGAAATAGCCTTAGAAGTCTAGTTGAATCTGGGTGTCAAATTGATTTTGTTACATTTATCTGAATACAAATACCGATGTCCGTCGATCAAAGTTGTAGAAGAAACTGCTGCCCTTGAAACGTAAGTGTGTATATTTGTTGCAGGTGCCATGCAAATGGAAAGCGGTTAAAACCCACATCTTGGGTTAATTTCCGGGATCAGTCCTAGGGAGGCAGCATAGTTCCACCCTTGACGAAGCTGTTGCTGTAGTGGCTGAAGAAAGAGGGATTGGAGTTGGAGCCCGTGTTGATGGCTGACCCACTGGGCCAGTAGTTGTTAGCTTGCGGCGTCGAGTCAGGAGGTGGCGGCGGTGGCGCCAACTGTCCAATGACCGAGAGATCCGCACCGCCCTTAATGGCACGCCCAGTACCGAAGAATTTCTGCATCTGTTGCTTCTTGAAATCGTGCATCGATTGACAGCCATTCGGTGGCTTCTCCTTGGGCATGTCCCAGGAGCCAACGTTCGGCGACTTGCGCACATACAGCTGACCCTTTTCGTTCTTGCTATCCTGCTGCACCCAACGCTCCGCGTGCTTCACCGTCAGCATGGCCTTGTGGGCGCCTATGTACTCCTCGGCCTTTTCAAGACGCTCTAGCTGCTGTTCGTCTAGTTGGTCACGCGGCAGCTTGCCCAAACGTTGCACCGTTCGCTTCCAGTTGTGAAACTCGCGATTCTTGAACGGCTTCATGGCCATGCGGTACTCCTTCCACTGGCGTTGGCGCTCCTCCTTTGTACCAGGTGGCGCATCTTCCAGCGGCGGTGGTGCCTCTGGCTTCTGTATCCACTGACCGTTGACCTGGACAAAGGTGCCGCTCCGCTTGGGCTTCTTAGAGGGTTGGGCTTCTCCGTTCGACTGCGAATTGTTGCCATCGCTTGGCGGCGGCGGCGGTGGAGGCATTAGCTTAGAATCTTTGACGTTGGTTCCGCGACTATTCGGCTTGAATTTTTTGTTATTCTGTTGATTGTTTCGCTGCTGGCTGCGCTCCTTAGGCACGAGGTTCCACAGGCTGGGGCATTTTGGCATGGGCGGTTGGATGGGTGGTGGTCGGTGTTGCGGCGACATCATATCCTCCCAGAACGGAGGCGGTTGCAGTGGTCGCTGGTTCTGGTTGCGTCTGGGCCCGGGGCCACCAGGTGGTCTTCCAAAGCCCATTGGTCCCCCAGGACCCATGGAGTGACCTCCCATTGGTGGACCGCAGGGACCCGGCCCAAAGTTGCCCCCAAATCCCATGTTCATCAGCTGCATTGGCAGCGGCGGGGGTCTGCTTAGAGGCGGATAGTTATTTCTGTCCTGGTAGTCGTTCCTTGGTCCTCCGCCTCCTTGGAAGTTTCTGTTGTCATTCGGCAACCATTGTTTACGTCCATTGTTGTTATTGTTATTATTATTATTGTTATTGGCAGCACTATTGTTGTTGCTGCGCTGTGGTCCGCCTTTCGAATCCGGTTTCAGCGCCTCCTTGCACTTTTTCCAATCTGCAAACGACATTTGCAGCGGCTTCGTCGGTGTCTCATCCTTGCTGGATTCTTCAGTGGATACCGTAGAATCTGCTGGTGCCGCCTCCACGGCCTCGTTTTCAGACATAGTCGTGCAGCGGCCTCAAATTCAAAGAAAAATATGAATATTCTATTTTTTTCTTGAATTCGTTTTACACAGTTGGAGATGGCAGAAAAACTGAATTTACCCAGTGATTGAGGGTAAAGACAATGTTTGCTATCGATATTTAATTTTAACGGGAGTTTTCCTTACAATATGTTAGGTCTATATAAACAAATAATTAATTATTTAGTAATTAATTGTTTTATTTTTATACTTAAAGCTTAAAACTGTAATCTTAAATTGATATATATCTTTTCAATAGGAAGAACACCCAAATGCAAGATGTTAATTTCCCTGACGATCTGAAGTTTTAGCATATGTGACAAAGTTATTTTAAAAGCACTTCTTTTCAGCAATATTTATAAAAAAAAGTATATTAATAAAGGTTACAATCAAATAGAATGGATAAGGTCTACTTATTAAAACTGCTTCAACTGCTTGCCTAGGCCGATAGCTGCGGCGCATCCCTAGAAATGAACGCCTACGACAATGTGGCAACGCCCCTAGTTGAATGGCTTTTTGTGGCACGGTGGCAGCATCAAAACGATTTTAGTCGCAGTCGCAGAGATTTTGGTTTTTGGTAAGCTTTTGCATTTTAATTGAAATTATGCTCGAAAATACAACATCAAAGTGAGCGTTTCGAGCAGAACTCGCAATTGTCTAATCCCGCGAAATGGAATCAGCTGTTAAAATCTAAGAACTCGAACGAGAGTGCAAAGTCGGTCGTCAGTGAAACGCGTAGTTTGCCCAATTTCACATATTGGGACCAAAATATTACTCAATTTCGCCGAGTGTTCTTTGCCAAAAGCGAACTTAATTGATAAATATTAAAATGCTATCCCCGATTTTAACTACTTTTTTGTTCAACGCCCTAGGGGCGCCGACTACGCTGCCTGCGTCGACGTCGACAGCGGCCATTCTTGTTGTTGCTATTCTCGACATATGATTCAATAGAGCGATCGTCCCTCTCTCTCGCGCCCTCTCTCTTGCTCCTCTTCCCTCCCACGGACAATTTCATTTTTTTGTAATATTTCTGTTAGCTGTTTTATTTTCTGTATTTGTTGTTGCTGTAGCGGTTGTAAGTGATATTTAAAAAAATGTGTTCGCATGGAGCGAAAGTCGGACTGAAACAACAACCATTAACCGCACAAATGGTCGCCCGTTTGTTGTTCCCATTTATGCAAACAATTTTCATTCATTATTTATTTCGTTTTTGGAATTCTGCCTCGATTGACTGTCAAAAGTCGCGCGGCTCCAATGGGTTAATTGGCCACCAAACTATAGATAAATCTGGGTGTTATCAGTTATAGCCGCTTATCAAACGTGCACATTCGTTAAGGCCAAAGATATACATATGAGAGCTTTGCGTCGCAATTCTCAAGATTCAGCCAGAAATGAGGCCAATCTTCTTATCCTACTACTTCTACACATAATTCAACTCCACCGTTGAAATTATCCAATTATACCAGTTATGAGTCTAATTGGACTAAAGTGGAAGGTTTTATAAAGATTTGCTCCCTAATAAGAACTTTGTAATTCTATAACTATAAAACAAATTTGTGATATCTTTTTACCTATTCTAAGCCTTTTTTAACTAGACCAAATATTGAATATTTTTTATTTAAATCTTTCAGGGGGAGGTGCGGAAAAACGCTTCTACGATTTCTTTTTCACCAATTCTTCAACAACATTCAAACGAACGAACAAGTAAACAGACCTTATAGCTGAACTCAGCGCAACCGGACGACAGGCAGGACAACCTTTAGACATCACTGATAGACATTATCGAATCCAACGAATCCCGAAAATGGCCCACACACATCTGGGACGCGCCGTGAAAAACATCGAGGCGCCGCGCCCACTTAAGACACAGTCGCGATCGTCGCTGAAGAACAGCTACCTGGTGATCGAGGAGCTCATCCAGCTGATAGACAATGTCACCGTGGGACTGCAGTCGTGCAACACCACGCCGGAGTCGATCACGCTGTTGCTGCATAACCTCCGGGTGCACGGACCGCAACTGGAGGCGGTGTCCAAGGATACGCTGGACCGGGCCTTTGTCGTTTTCCGCAACGCTTCGCAGGACGAACGGCTGAACATAACGACGCGCCTCAAGCTCCTCGAGCTGATCGAGCTGCGCGCCAAGAGCTGGGACAATGACGACACAATCGCGTACTACAAGTCCAAGCAGCAGATCTCCAACGTGGAGGTAAGTGTGCCACAGAGAAACCAATCAATCAATCAATTTGTAGCTTTTATAATTTACTCTTTATCGCGTTAATTGTCTCATTTTGGGAAATTAGCAAACAGTAGTGAAGTAATTATCACATTTTTTTTAAAGTTTTTCTATTCTTTGTTTTAAACTCGTTGTGAAAGGTTTAGGGTTATTGACTTTTTGGAATTTTAATTTCTTTGTGCCTTGTGACTTTTTTAGTTCCGTAGGTAAAGAATTCATATGGCCTACTAAGAATATATTTTTTGGGTTAAATTATTGTTTTTTGGGTATGTGATGGGTATCACTCTTATATGCCTTGACAAAATATCTGAATAGTATAGAATAAGTTTACAATACACATTAATACATTGCAGTTTATTTAGAACAACTAGGTTAAACATTATCCTGAAATGGTCTCTAATACCCTATTCTTTCTTTCAGCTGCCTCCGGAATATCAGTACGATGCCGGCGTGCAGCCTTTCAGCACCTCCCCCACATTTGGCATCAGCGGTGGTGTTGGCGGTGTTAACGTCGGAGCCGCCGCTGCCGCCGTCTTCAATGCGGCATCTGCAGCCGCCGCCGCCCAAGCTGCGGCCATTGCGGCCGTGGGCTCACCCAACCAGCAGCACATGCTGCTGCCGCCCGGTGAGGTCATCCGCAATTCTGGCAAGTTCCCAAAGCCGACTAAGATCCCCGGCAAGACGTACTGCAAGGACGAGGTCGTGATTCGCAACGCTGACTCTGGAAAAGGTGAGTATCTCTGGCTGAGCAGTGTCCTCGAACTCTGATTTTTGAATATGAACTTGAAAATGTATTCCACTAATCCCGTGGCCACAAAGTCATGGGCATCAAGGGGCGACGCGTGCACATGATCGAGGAACTTAGCGAAACCATAATATCGTTTCAAAGAGGTAACACCCAGGAAAGCTGGTTTTGAATTCTCCTCACTGCACCCGCATTTCATTTGGCACGCTTACTGCATTAAATTGTTTGGTGGCGTGTACACCCACATTTACTAAAAAAAAAAAACAAGATCGCATGTCCCACAAAATTTCTTAAATGAACCGATTTACTCTCAAAAATATCGACTAAGACACTACCATTACATTTTATCTTTATGCCATTTTATGTTCATGTTATAAATAACCATTTTGTTGTTTAAATTGTGTTGGTAATTGAATCACAAATCATATCTAGGTATTTTAAACAATTCACCTATATAACAATTAATTAATGACCCTATTTCTGTTAGTCAATCCGGGCGCCAAGGAGCGTTTGGTACAGATTACTGGTCCAGCCGAGGATAAAATTAAGTGAGTAATGTAGTTCAACAAAACCAATTTATAGATGGGGCTGCCAAGCATATTTTGTTTTACTGACGTTTATTGAAAGGTGTTTTTTTTTTTTGTTATTTTTATCTTTACCCTCTTTTCAAATATTTTTAATTTGTAATTCTTTCACAGTTGTATTCTTAAATACATGATTTTTGAAGCATAGTTTACTTAATATTCAATATTAAAAAAAAGTTGTAAAGTTGACGGCCTCAAATCTATAATTTGCAATTTCACCAAGACGCTTTTATTTAATTATGGTTTCTTGTTACGATAGCTACGCCAAACAACTGATGGAGGACACCATTCGCCGGAACGCCTCGCCGGTGCGGTTGGAGCCCGCCCCCGCTGCCGGAGGATCCTGCTCCTCGCTGAACTCGTCCAACTCGGACGACGCCATCGTGCAGCCGCGCACTCCGGGCGGCAGCAGTTTGGCCAACCGGCTGAGCTTCAACTCGGCGCAGAACTTCATGACCGCCACCGCTGCCGCGCAGCAGATCTCGCAGCAGGTGCACCACCACACGCAGCAGCAGCAGGTGCTCCACCAGACGCATCAGCAGCAGCAGCAGGTCGCCGCAGTAGCCGCCGCAGCAGCAGCAGCGGCACATGCTCAGGCGACAGCCGCTGCCGGTAAAGTCTTGCGTCCCAATCAGCAGCTGCTAATGCACTCATATTCCACAAACGATGCTTCCGTAGGTGAATACAAGTTCACGGTCAACGTGGGTCAGCACCTGATCAAGATCACAGGCGACTGCTGCGAACTAGTGCGAGTAAGTGGTGATATACATGAACTCACGACATTATGTAAATTCTGCCGTTCTTTTGACATTGTAAAAATCTACCAACTCTTAATTTATACGCAATTATACTTACGCAATTATGCTTAAATCTACAATTTTAAGCACTGGTTCAGAATTAGAATTGCATAAGTTTAACTATTGTAGCCAATCCAGTAATCCTCTCAATTTTTCAGGTGGCCAAGCTAGTGCTCGATGACTATTTTAGCAGCTCGGAGTTTCTGGCCTCCATTGAGGCTGGTGCCGCCTTCGATGGCACTTCTCTGGTAAGCCCAGTGACCACACCGTCAACTCCTCTTCCTGGCGCCGGGCCGCCGAATTTTTTGCTGCCTGGAACGGACAGCGGCATAGGACTTAATTACGTCGCCTCCTCTGCAGTCAACAACAATGGCGAGGGCGACGACGAGGTGTTTTCAGAGCCCAGCAATGGAGGATCATCAGCTAACAATCAAAATGGATTGGCCAGGTCGCGGCGCAGCCACTTTTCGCGCAAGGAGTCCACCCCGGAGACCAAAGGAGCTCGCGAGAAGATCGATATTGACGAGCTGGCAGGCCTTAATCCTTTGAAGACCAATGCATGTAAGAATACATAATTTCTTCAATTATTTCGATAAAATACATATTTAATTTCATTTAAAACCGTTATTATTATTACAGCACGCGTCTCTTACGATATTGAGCACTTGATCTACTACTCGATGAGTCCTCACGCCTGGGCCTTGCCCACCGACTGGCAAAAGATGCAGGAGACAACGCCCTCGATTCTGCGCAACAAGGTAATTCCGCCTTTCGATGGCCCAGTCGACTATATAGCTTACTCTTCGAACTTACCCGACTCCATCACCTTCACCACTGCACCTAACTCATCCGTAACAAGAACTCCGACTGCGCCCAAAGCAATAAATGTAATAACCTCCACCCCAACCACCAACATCATCAGCACCAACGTTGGAATCGCTGCTGTTGAGGCAGCAGCAGACAATCCCATAACCGCCACTAACAAGCAATCAAAAGGGCTCATCGTCGATCGCGAAACCCGTCGCCTTCCCAAGCCATCGGCCATGTCCGATCGGAACCTGTACAACAAGCAATTGCAAATTATAACAAATACCGTGGGTGGATCATTTGGCCACCATGGAAAGAATCGCCCTGGTCATCAACATCAGGGAAGCTATCAAACATCCCAAGTGAAAGCTATTTTCCAACGCTACAGCGAGGACGATGAATTTTCAATGACCTCTGAATCAGAATCAAATAATAACCAAGCTTTTTTTAACTCTTATTTCAATTTTTCGTATTACGTAGCCGGAATACGTATCGAATATTATTTAATCTTGTCCACAGATATGCAATATTTTTCTTTTCTAATCATCTTAAAACAGTATTATTGTTTTTTTCATTTTTTACTTTATACCATAAAGCTTATCAACTGTAATAAAAATACAGCATGAAAAATCTGATAGATAATGAATCGAATAAAAGTCATTATCATTATCATATAGTCATAAAGCAAAAGACATACCAACGAAACCAAACCAATTACCAAGTGAAATTATTCGCTAGTCTTAGACGTAACAATACATCTAATGCATTGAAATTAAAATGTATCTATAGGGAGAATCTGTGTTTTGGCTGTGAAACAGATTAAGTCTTCGCTAGAGTTAAACTTTAAACGCGGTTCGAACCGTATAACCACTAACAAACATTCTCGAATTCACACCAACATTTACAAAGCTGTAATTAACGTTTTAATAAGACTTATAACAACTGTAACAAACTTAGTTTTAAGCGTTTTATCCCCCAACACACATATTCAATACGATTTATAAAAAAATCTAATAAACATTAGGGCTTTCAAAGTCCGAAACAAAGCTTGGCTGGGTTTAACTGACACTGCATACATTCAAATTTGTGTATAACCACCGAAAAACCATAACATTGAACTGCTAACTCATCCAAAGCACGCTCACCAAACCACACTAAATGGCTTATTTAGGCTAATCTGTTGCATAAGTACATATGTTTGTCCAAGGTAAGCTCGACCCTATTATTGACAAGCAGTAACCTTTTGCCATCTACTATAAAATTGTTTTTTGTTTGACAACAGGATCTCCAGGATGAGAGCCAGCGCTTCGATGGTGATAAATATCTGGCTAGCATTAAGACTGCCGGCAAGCGAGATATTGTGGCAGCTGATGAAATCGAGACTCTGGATGAATAACCCACCCAATTGAGTGGCCCAAACTGACAATATAGATAATACGCATACATTATCAATGTCCGGGGTGAAGAGCTCAGCTCAGACAGAGCTAGACTATCCTTCAATGATTTTGGCCCTAGCCTCATCTAACAATCGCAAAAACAAAAACGACCAAAAAAATATTGAAAAATCAAGCAACTCAATGCTAAACTAACCCTAGAAATTACCAACGACAAAAATCAAAACTTTCAAAATAACTAGAAAATTCAACGAAGCTCTTAGTTAAGTTCAAGCGAAATGGGAATCGTACTTCCCAATATTTACTAATTAACAAAATGCAGCTAACTGAAAAGGCTCGAAACAGTCGTTACGAAGCGGCCCTAACTTTAATGGCCAATATTAAATGGAATGCATTTTTAGTAACTCAATAGAGAATGACACATTTTTAGTTTGAAATTTGTTTCTCATCCTTCCGCAACTTTGTTTCTCCCAACCAAATAATTCTCAAAATGGAAAAGGAAATGTATTAATTCGTCTATGTGTTTAATATTATTTTATAATTCTTTTGTGACTTGCTCTGAATATCATTTTTCAAGATTTGAAATTGTATTTTGTTTTCTCTAGTCTATGCATCATAGAAATTTTTATATTATTTTTGTTAAATTCAAGTGGAAATGTAACAAAACGAAAACCACACCAAAATTCTTTGAATTTCTGTTTATGCTTTAGTTAATTTATTTTATTTATTTTGTACAAATACAAATATATTCTTCAAAAAGATATTTGCAAGGAAAATAAAATGGAATCAAGAACAAACATTGCATCTTTCACATCTACCAACTTTTTCCCCAATACATATCGGTTTCTTAAAATAATTTGGTGAATGTACATTTGCATAAATTTATTCAACATATACAACGAAACAATAAATATAACAATAGTTTACGGCTTGATATGTATCATAGAATATTGGCTAGGAGTTTAACCAATCGAACGATCACGACGATTGTGCGGTTAGCAAAGTGTTCCGTGTTGCATAACAAGTCAAGTATGAAGAGATGGCGCTAACATCACAATTGGTTATTGGTTAGTAACAGATAATAATCGATATAGCGCACTTAGTTGCCCAATAAAGGCCGTCGATTCACGAAGGGGCACTGCATCGCGCTTTTGGCATGTACACAAAGCAAATACATTTAGAAAGAGAATGTTAATTAGTCAGGGGAGTCTGATGTGGAGGTGTGTCATCAGATATGGGTTTAGTGCACAACATCAAGACATCAATAGCATGCTCAACTCGACTCAATATTCACGTACATCGAGGTGTGATATGTGGCCCGCTGGGCAGGTGACATATTTAAGTTGCCCTGGTGTTTCCGGTTGTAGGCCCAAATAGCGCAGGTGGCCAGAAGGGAGACTAAAAAAGATTACAAGGTTGATAACTAAACTTAGGATATGAAAGCTTAATCTTACTCAGCAGAAAGACCATAAAGAAGATCTGCAGCCAAAAGTGACTTCCACCGCTGCTATCCACAATAATACCCGCCGCAATGGTGACCACCGCCAATCCCAGATTCTGCACAGACTGACAGCTGGAATAGGTAGAATTAAATACTTAAATCGATCTCAAAGGTCAGTAGATTAGAGAACTTACAAGCCATATGCCGTGCCCAACTGATACTCGGGTACAATCAACGAGACCAGAGGCCACAAACTAGCAGCCAACATGGAATAAGACAGGCCCATGATGGTCATTCCTATGTACGGATCCCAGTGGGTGAAGGTCAGCAGAAAGTGCGCCACCAGCGTGGAGATGGTTGCGCAAAACACCCAGGTTACATTCCTTCCGACTTTGTCAATTATAAAACCAAATAGAGGCGATGCTATAGCAGAGATCAGGTAGACAATCGAGTTGACCGTGTTCGCCTCATCCGCTGTCATGTGGAAATTGCTCATAAAGAAGGCCTGTCCCAAAGCCACAAAGGGAAATATGGCCACATAGTACGCCACGCAGACCACAGACACCATCCAAAAGTCCAGCTTGAAGGTGACTATGTCGCTTAATTTGGCTATTTCCCCGCCGGGGTTATTATTACGCTTGAGAATACGCTCTGCACGCTTGTCCATCCAACCTAAAAAAAATGGTTAAAAGTAGGAAATACGTTAAAAATATATGTATGTATGTCAAACATTATCTGCTATTCTATGTACATACATATATTGTAAGCATATTTAAAAAAGATATTGTAAAAGATATCATACCTAGAATCAAGGTGCAGATCAGCGACATCACACATGTGGAAGAGGCCAGGAACAGGGCCACTCCCAGACCTTTGTAGCCAGAGTAGGATTTCGAGACGTAGCCATATAGGGGTTGCATTATCCAAAAGTTCACGGTGCTGCCGAAACGAGCCACCGACAACTGCAGTCCGAAGACCATGTTTAGCTCCTTGCCCTTAAACCACAGCACCGCATAGCTGTTTTGGGCCACAGCCAGCGACTCAGCCCCGATTCCGAATACAAATCGTCCCACTATCATCAACCAGAAGTGACCCAGCACTCCGCCCGTGGCAAAGATCAGTTGGCCAACAAGCACGATCAGCATGTAGATAATGGTGCCCAGACGGATCCCGAACACCCGGTCGATGAGAAAGCCGCCCACAAAGCAGAGCACGATGTTTGGCCACGAGTAGATGGAGTAGATGAGCGTGAACTCAGTGGAGCTGAGGTCCAGCTCCTTTTGGAACACGTCCTGCAATGCGCCGGGATTATCATAGCAGAAGTAGGAACCTATGTAAAGGGTTGGTTTAAATTAAGCTCAATTCATATAGCCGGAAAAGTTTTGAGTGAAATTTTTGAGTATTTCAGTTAAAAAAGTATTTAAAAGTATTGTGGATTAATAACATATAATAAAAAAAGGTTGAACAAATTTAAAACCTAATATTAATTTCAAAAGAGACAGACACAATTTTTTTCAAAAACGAACATATAATTTTTTTTTGAAAATTTTCATTTAGGTTTTAAAAAATCGATGGTATAGAATCTATACTATAGATACTACTACTATATCCAATCTTAAAGAAATATTTCTAATTAACAAATGTAAAAGTCTATGTTAAAACTTTGAATTTTAAAATGTAATGGTTTAATATACCCAATCATAGCATTACTCACCAAATCCCAAAAGACACATGAAGAGCAGGGCCAGGAATCGGTGCGGTGTGCTCGAAGGATCGCAACATCCTGTATCCTTTTGCGGACCGGCGAGTTCCGTGTCCCGGGTACTGCGACGTCGCACCACAGGATGCACTTCATCATCGCCGCTGCTGCAGCTGCTGCTGTTCGAGGTGTCCACGATGGGTTTGCGTTCCTCGCGTGACATTTCTTCCACTTTATGTGCCGTCAGGAAGAAGAAGGAATGACAGGAAATTTGAGTTGTGTGATGGTAATTGCTTTTTGTTGCTCCTTTTATTGAAATTCCTGCTCCTTGGTTGGCGGTGGGAGGTGGTCGGTGGCGGGGGGTGGGGCCGGGCTGTGGCCCTACTGTTGTTGCTTATCACTAGACCACACCATTATTCGTTGTTGTCGTTGTTGTTGCTGTTGTCTCAGTATGTGTGCAGTATTGATTATTCCCACACAGACGAATGAATACAGGAAGGTTGGAAGGGGGGATGTTACGGTTAATCTGCAATAAAAAGCCAAGATTGAAAATTGCATTCCACGCAGTACATTTTCCACGCACCCACACACAAGCAAAAAAGGTAAATGTCACGGGTGGGTGTGTGTTTGTATGTGTTTGCTAGATAAACATGACAGATCTTGTCGACCATTTGTTGACTAACGGTAAATGGGTAATCAATTAAGCGCATGCAGTGTGTTGCGGCCTTAACTTTGAGTTGACACCTGATTTAAGGTTTTATTACGTTATTTGCGTATTGAAAACAGCTCAAGCGTATTCCGATACATACACACATGTCAATAAATATGCATATGTAAACGCCGTTCGTCGACAAAAAGGGATTAATAACCAAATACCCCGTTATCGCAGACATGAAGTAACGTCACACACTAATTAATCACTAGTCCACGGTCTTATTTTGCATTATTTATGTTCGATTTTTTTAAATCGCGATTGTTGCGGGCTTAGAAGCTGAGCAAAAATGTATTAATTAATTCTCAAAGTATTTAATTTTAAATACATTTTTCTAAGAAACAAGCAGATTGTTTTTCACCATATTCAACAAGTTGAGGACTTACGGTTTATTTCAGTCCCCTGGGCAGGAGAGGAATGTCTTACCTGATTTCCTTACCTTTAGCTGTAGAGATGGAAGTAACGGCATTTTTCACTTATCGATGTATTGCATAGCCATAAAAATCGGTGTAACGGTATTCAAGTTGCTACTTTCCTCGGTCAGAAAAAGCGCGCATGAATTTTTGAAGAGCGTTCTTAAAATAGCAATAGATAAACGCTAAGATTCATTGTATTAGCTTCCGTTTTTTTAACATCAAAAATTAATTCCATGCCCATAATTTCATATTCAAAACAGTTAAAATAACGGTAAATACAAATATTAACACATTTTCGACTATCGATAGTTGACAACACTAACCGCCCACGCATCACTGATCGAGTGTTGATAAACGCCATTTGCGCATCAGGTGGCAACCGTGTGGTATTACACGAAGCAAAACAACTATTATTATTATTAAATTCAGCACAAAGTTCAATGGTTTTTAGGTCTGCGCGATCGCAATTCGATCAGGAAGTACTGGCATAGCGAAAAGTATGTAAGTGAAAGTCCTAGATGGGCAAACCCTGCCGAATCACTAGGCACTCTGTATTTTGTGCAGTGTAAAGGCGCCTGAAAATCCAACGATGTTGTCTTCGTCTCGCACAACGCAAATTTATTCAAAGACCCACTGCCACATTTTGATACGCTCTCGAGTAGCTAAACACGTTTCGTATGCTTGCATGTCCATTTCGTAATGCCCCCGAACAGGAACTAAGGTCTGTCCACGCGAGATGGCGGCGATAAAGGTGAGAATCGAATCCCCCCGCTGAAATCAAACAATGGCTCATTTTTAAATGCGTTGTACAACCGCAGAACATCACCCTGGGCATTCTGTACGGCCTTTGGGACAGCATACGTGGCATGACATTGGTCCTGCACATCGACGACGAGGTGAACCGCCAGAATGCCGAGCAGGAGCACCGCCACCAGCTGCGTCGCACGGACAAGGATCGTTACGAGCGGGCCAGGAGATCTCCATCACCAGTGCCCAGTTCCGCGGCTGCCATGATCCGGGAGGAGTACGCCAAGCAGGCCGAAGAGAATGCCGACGAGCGGACCCTGGAGAAGATCCTGGGCAAGAAGCCCGCCGCCCAGGAGCAGCAGCCCCAGGGGTAAATAACACAAAGGCTGACTAATCTCTATATACGTATATTTATTGCGCACTTGATTTATTACCTTCGTCACAGGGAAAAGAAGATCGCCAAGAAGCTGTTCAAGTGCTGCATGCTCAATGGTGGTTTCACCTGGCTGAGCATCGTCCTGTTCGAGTCCGCCCTTCTGCCCACGCTCAAGTTCTGCCTGACCATCTTCTACGGAGCCCAGTCGGAGACCCTGCCCGTTGTCTGGGGCTGGCTGCATCCCATCCTGTCACTGCTCTTCGGCATGATGTGGGTGCTGCCCATCTTCATGCTCTCCAAGATTGTGAGCTCTTTGTGGTTCGCGGACATTGCCAATGCCGCCTATCGCGTAAGGAAGGGTCGTCCGCAGCTAATCCCCGGGATCAGCAAACTAGTGGCCGACTTCCTGTTTAGCATGGTGGTGCAGATGCTGTTCCTGGTGCAGAGCATGCTGGTTAATCTGGTGCCCGTCAAGTATGTGGGCTCCTCGCTGTGCTTCGTTCACTTGTGCCTGCTCTATTCACTGTACTCCTTCGAGTACAAGTGGTTTAACATGGGCTGGGAGCTGCACCGACGGCTCACCTATATTGAGAAAAATTGGCCCTACTTCTTCGGCTTCGGCATACCGCTCACCGTACTAACGAACCTCTCCAGCTCGGTGATCGTCAGCAGCTGTATCTTCTCCATCTTCTTCCCCTTGTTTATACTCAGCGGCAATGAGGCGAAGCCCATTGTGGACACCACGTAAGTGTTTTTGGTTTGGTAATACAGTCCAGCTTCACTAAATCAAATTTATCAATTCCTAAAATAAGTGTACATCTTTCAACTTCAACCTATTTTCTATTTTGTTCTTCACTTCGACTATATATTTAGCCTAAGTGAAATCTAATCCTCCCCTTTTCTTCAAGGCTACCATAATTCGATTTAGAGAAGCCCATCTGTACTTTAGCTATAAATATAAATAACTAAAAATTTGACTTCCGCCTAGTGAGATCTCGCTGCGTCTCTTCTCGCCGGTGGTCTTCATATCGAACCTGTGCTTTGGCGGCAATCCGTGGAGCAAGGCCAACCGGCTGAGTGCCATGCAGCGGCAGCAATATGAGCTGCAGCAGCGCCAACGACTGCTCCAGCGGGATGAGCAGCTGCTAAAGCAGCGCAAGCAGCAATATGTGCAGCAGCAGCGACTGCAGCAGGAGCAGCTAATGCGACGGGATCGCTCCCATTCGCGGTCACAGACACCGCAGATGGGACAGCCGCATCGCTACGCCCAGGCGCCCGTTTTCGATGCGGGTCGGGTGCGCGACTCCTCCGCCTCGTCCACGCACAGCTCCAACTCGCCGAGCATCAATAGCCACCGGCCACCGCCTTATTACGGGAGCTCGCTGCGTGGGTCCGCACCCCTAGTGCCCACTCCTGTGCCCGGGGCACCGAGAGCTCCGCTCACCCCGCCCGTGATACGCCAGGAGTCGGGGCCCGATGACTGGAACTTGTGAGATTTATGCTTATATACACGCAACGTAGGCTTTAGCTATATATAATTCGATCTGTGTAATGTACGTATCATCTACCTATCTAACCATCGTGAACTGTGTAAGTTAAAGATAACTCTAGGTCTACGCATAATGACAATGTTCGCTAGTCGACACCGCCACCAACACAACGCCCCATTCGCATCGGGCATGACTAAATATATATAGAGTGGCTATATCTGAAATGCGGCTCGCGCAACTGCTGCATAATCGTTTAGATGTTTATTTTAGGCGGCGTTTTTTCTTTAATTTTTGCTCGTAGGGTGCATCCTCTACACTAGAAATTATGTCGGGCGTAAAGTTCATTTAATGTATATTTAATCAAAAATAAAAATAATTTTGTACTTTCGTCAACTGTTTTTGTTCTTGGTTTTTTAATAGGCAATTGTTGATTAAACCTTATCTGTGTGATTTGTCTAGGTTTGATTAAATTAATAGTGTGAGTCAGAAACTAATCTAAAGCGAAGGGAGATATAAATCTTTTTTGATTACTATTGAAAGTTTTCAGTTTTTTTTTATATATTGGTTTTATTTATCAATTTGTAAATGAAAATCTATAACCCATCGTAACCCCATTTGTAGTGTTTCTCCTCAACCATTTCCAATAATAATTTCATGTTGATGTGACAATATAATAAGCTCTTCAAAACCTCATAATAACTCTCACACTAACCCACTCCTCTTTCCGTAACCGCCTCCAATTAACAACAGAGTTCCAGCACGAACAAATCGAACGAGGATTTGTGTTCATATTTGGATTTGGGGTGACGGCGATGTGGGCTTGTGGGCGATTACCTACCAAATTGATTATCACCTAGGTAACACCCATGTGTCCACACATTGTCGGTGTTGAAAGTGAAATTGTCCGTAACACTGTAGGTTGTATCCTTTTTTAAAAGCGTAATTTCCCTCACAGTCGTATTTTATTGTTCGTACCGTGCGGTCACTTGTCAGCTCCTGAAATCCCGAACCGAAACACCTATGTGCTATTAAAATGATTTTGGTGGGACTAAAAACTTTTAAAAATGTGTGGCTGGTTGGATTTTTATGGCTTTTAAGCGCTTTGAGCTGGGAAAGCGCTGCGCAAACTACTCAAAATATCAATGTCTGTAAGTTAAGATTCGATCAATGTGGAAATGGGTTCTAGTTTTGGACTATCAGGACAATCAAAAATATTCTATTATTTTCATTATCTTTCAAATTTTCTTAGTCTTGTTAGTCAACAGGTTAGGGTTTTACTAAATAATAGGGACGCATCATACAAAAAACTAAAAGAATTTTTAAGAGATTGTAATTGATGCGTAATTATTTGAATTATTTTATTATGTTAAAAGCTGAAAACTTTTCTACAATTCTAAGGACCAATATTTTTCGCTCAGTACAGATTAAGTAAACTAATTAGGTAAAAAGTACTGGGAAAGATATTGGTGGGTAGATTAATTGGGTGGTGCCAGTCATAATGAGTTCTAGGGCAAATAAATAAACGCAATGCCACGTAATGCTTTTTGTCAATGCATTTTCACCCAACCAACCTTATCCTTTGGGATAGTGTTTATCAACGAGGTGGATAATGAACCGGCGGCCAAGGCGGTGGATGTGGTGCTTTCCTATTTGAAGAAGAACATCCGATATGGACTCTCGGTGCAGATGGATTCCATAGAGGCCAACAAATCGGATGCGAAGGTGCTGCTGGAAGCCAGTGAGTTCTGGTTTAGCATGTTCCTGGATTCTTTTCTGACCTATTTCCCCCTAGTTTGCAATAAGTATGCGACAAGTATCGAAAAGAAACAGACGCCCCATTTAATCCTGGACACCACTAAATCCGGAATAGCCTCGGAAACGGTTAAGAGTTTCACTCAGGCCCTAGGTTTGCCCACCATTAGTGCCTCATATGGTCAGGAGGGTGACTTGAGGCAGTGGCGTGATTTGGATGAGGCGAAGCAAAAGTATTTACTGCAGGTTATGCCCCCGGCAGATATTATTCCCGAAGTTATACGAAGTATAGTGAGGCATTTAAACATCACGAATGGTAAGCAGATTACAATAATAATATTGATTAATTGGTTGCTCTTAAATCATGAATTTTTGAAAACACACTTTGAAAACACTAGAACTTCTAAAATTAATAATTTTTTAATGTTAAAATTTTGCACGTTGCACTGTATTTAGTTTTGTTTAGTTTCCTGCCAGAGATTTAATTATATATCTTGACCAGCTGCCATCCTTTACGACGAAACCTTTGTAATGGACCACAAGTACAAGTCCCTGCTGCAAAACATCCAAACTCGTCATGTGATCACCGCAATAGCCAAGGATGGAAATCGCGAACGCGAGGAGCAAATCGAAAAGCTTCGGAATCTGGACATTAATAACTTTTTTATTTTGGGCAATCTGCAATCGATTCGAATGGTATTGGAATCCGTGAAGCCGGCGTATTTCGAGCGCAATTTCGCATGGCACGCAATTACTCAGAACGAAGGGGAGATTAGCAGTCAGCGGGATAACGCGACCATCATGTTCCTGAAACCCATGGCGTATACGCAATATCGGGATCGCTTGGGATTGCTAAGAACCACATATAACCTTATGGAGGAGCCCCAGTTGGCTTCGGCATTTTACTTTGATCTGGCACTCCGCAGTTTCCTCACCATTAAGTGAGTGAAAGTGAATTATATTTATATCCTTCTCGAGTACTTATTTATTTATTGCTGCAGAGAAATGCTACAATCGGGTGCGTGGCCAAAGGATATGGAATACCTAAATTGTGACGATTTCCAAGGCGGCAACACACCACCGCGGAACGTGGATCTTCGGGAATACTTCACCAAGGTGGGTGGGTCTTCCTATTTGTTGAACAAATTATGGTTGTTAGTCACTTCACCGCTTTTGTTTTCGTTTCATAGATTAGCGAGCCGACATCGTACGGAACCTTCGATCTTGTCACGCAACCCAGGCAGCCCTTCAATGGCTATAGCTACATGAAATTCGAAATGGATATAAACGTGCTACAGATTCGTGGTGGCAGTTCAGTGAACAGCAAATCGATTGGCACCTGGGCAGCCGGTCTGGACTCACCCCTTATGGTCAAGGATGAGGAACAGATGAGGAATCTGACAGCGGACACGGTGTACCGCATCTATACAGTAGTGGTGGGTCAAAATGGACAAAATGTTGGCTTAGAACGGAGTTATTAAGAGTACTGCAATGCTTTAGCCGGAAAGGTTGAACTAGTTTTATGGTTATTGGTCAAAAAGTGTGGCTTAAATTGTGGAGAAGGTTTAATATCGATTTAGCTTTATGATCTTACAGATAGATCCAAATTCTTTATTGGCAAACATAATTTTTCAGCTTGCTTTGAGCTTCTTGGACTTTAAATTTAAAAGTCTTATAGCAGTGTCAATATGTTACACACTTTTGGGGGCAGTTTCAGTTTCCACTCTAATAACAGCAATTTTGTAAATAATTTTTCCTAATATAAAGATCATAATAAAGTTAAAAAAATTCTTTTAGTAAATACAGAATGGGTGTTGTTTTAGTCACAAGCTAACAAACAAATTAACTTTAATTAGAAGATTGGTTTTAAACATCTTTATTTAAGACAATAATACATATGTTAAATATTAAAATATTCTATTTTACTTTACAGCAAGCCCCGTTTATTATGCGCGATGAGACGGCACCGAAAGGCTACAAAGGATACTGCATAGATCTTATCAACGAGATTGCTGATATTGTCCATTTCGATTACATCATCCAAGAAGTGGAGGACGGAAAATTTGGCAACATGGACGAGAAAGGCGAGTGGAATGGCATTGTGAAGAAGCTAATCGATAAGCAGGCGGATATTGGCCTTGGTAGCATGTCGGTGATGGCCGAACGGGAGATAGTCATTGACTTTACGGTTCCATATTACGATCTGGTGGGGATCACCATCATGATGCAGCGACCCAGTTCCCCCAGTTCGCTATTCAAGTTCCTCACCGTTTTGGAGACGAATGTGTGGCTTTGTATCCTGGCTGCCTACTTCTTCACCAGCTTTCTCATGTGGGTCTTCGATCGCTGGAGTCCATATAGTTATCAGAATAACCGCGAGAAGTACAAGGACGATGAGGAGAAGCGGGAGTTCAATCTCAAGGAATGCCTTTGGTTCTGCATGACTTCTTTGACACCGCAAGGTGGTGGTGAAGCTCCAAAGAATCTCTCTGGACGCCTGGTGGCCGCCACTTGGTGGTTATTCGGGTGAGTTTTCTATTTTAAGGTTCTTTAATTATATCTAAGTTTCAATAATTAATTCTTTCCAACGCAAGTTTCATCATAATTGCCTCCTACACGGCCAATTTGGCTGCCTTTTTGACTGTCTCACGTTTGGATACGCCCGTTGAAAGTTTGGATGACCTGGCCAAGCAGTACAAGATCCTATATGCTCCATTGAACGGCTCGTCGGCAATGACTTATTTTGAACGCATGGCCAATATAGAGCAGATGTTTTACGAGATTTGGAAGGATCTGTCGCTGAACGACTCGCTAACTCCGCTGGAGCGCTCCAAGCTGGCCGTTTGGGATTATCCGGTGAGCGACAAGTACACCAAGATGTGGCAGGCCATGCAGGAGGCTGCTCTGCCGGCCACTCTCGATGAGGCTGTGGCTCGGGTCCGAAACTCAACGGCAGCCACGGGATTTGCTTTCCTGGGCGATGCCACCGATATACGATATCTGCAGTTGACCAACTGCGATCTTCAAGTGGTGGGTGAGGAGTTCTCCCGGAAACCTTACGCAATCGCCGTTCAGCAAGGCTCCCATCTCAAGGATCAGTTCAATAATGCGTATGTTAAGCCCTAATACATTCTGTTATATATCCTTAACTCATACATATTTAAAGAATCCTAACCTTGCTCAACAAACGACAATTGGAGAAGCTCAAGGAGAAATGGTGGAAGAACGATGAAGCTCAGGCCAAGTGCGAGAAGCCGGAGGATCAATCGGATGGCATATCCATCCAGAACATTGGTGGCGTCTTCATTGTAATCTTTGTGGGCATTGGCATGGCCTGCGTCACGCTGGTCTTTGAGTATTGGTGGTATAGATACCGCAAGAATCCCAGGATCATCGATGTGGCCGAGGCCGATGGGAATCGTTCTAATGTTAAGGATCATCCCGGCAAAATGGCCGATGGTGTGATCCTTGGTAATTCAGGAGAGAAGTTTGAAAAGTCGAATGCTGCACTGCGTCCACGCTTTAATCAGTATCCGGCCACTTTCAAGCCACGTTTCTAGGAGAACTCTGCTGACAATGAATCGAATATTATTGTAAAATGTGCACTGGGATGTCTACGTCTAGTATTTAAGGAATTTCAGACACTTTGTGCACTTTTATTCAAATCGTAATAAATGTTTAAACAAAGTTTTTTTGAAGGTTTATTTTAGCTTAAAAGTAAATATTATTCGAGGGCCTTGATTTTACAACATGGTTTGAAAAACCGTTAGAATGTTTATTTTTATAATTGGATTTTTTAAGATGTTCTGCTTTTTGGTTTTGAAAAAAAAATTGTTTATTTATTTATAGTAAAACTTAAGCAGCAATAAGAATAAATAAAAAGTTTATAGATTTATTTATATTTTTAAAATTAATTGGGGTACTCCACTCTTTTTAAATGTATGCTTAGTATATAATTCTGCGCTTTTGGTAATAATTTTTCTCTCACTATTTGGTCACACTATACACTAAAGCACTGCCCAAGAAGTCAACATAAAATTCCACCTACACCCGCGCTCAACAGTTTTGTTTTCAATTAACCGCGATGGGCGACAGTTCGGATGAGGAATACCTGGGCACGGAGTGGCTGCCTTACAGGGAACGACCCGAATGGGTGGATGTGGAGCCGCTGGCCCAGGAGGACGGCGCCAATCCGGTGGTGTCCATCGCCTACAGTCAAAAGTGTGAGTAATGCAGGCGGCTTTATCTCTGGCAGTCCCTAAATCTATATATCCATGTTATCCGCAGTTCGTGAGGTCTTCGACTACATGAGGGCCGTCATTGCCAGCGGGGAGAAGAGCCAGCGTGCCTTGGACCTCACCACGGATGCACTGCGTCTGAATCCGGCAAACTACACTGTTTGGCAGTACAGACGCGACATCCTGCGCGATCTGAAAGCTGATTTGAATGCCGAGCTGGACTACCTCAGCGAGGTGATAAGCCAAAACTCGAAGAACTACCAGGTGTGGCACCACCGACGCGTCATTGTCGAGATGCTGAACGATCCCAGCAACGAGCTAGAGCTCACGGAGAACGCCCTGGTCAACGATGGCGACGCCAAAAACTACCACGCCTGGCAGCATCGCCAGTGGGCCATTCGCACCTTCAAGTGAGTGGGGATTTGGGAATTCATTCCAAATAGATTTTATAAAGGGGACATTTATAATGTTCAAATTCAAGACCCCCAGACAATTTTGTTCCTTTTAAAGTTATTTATTTCAAGTTCGTTAATTTACTAATTTAATTTTGCCTTACTAATGTTTTTCCAGGCTCTTCGACGATGAGCTGAACTTTGTAGATCGTTTGATTTGCGAGGATCAGCGCAACAATTCGGCCTGGAACCAGCGCTTCTTTGTGATCAAGCATTTTGGATTCACGCCAGACTTGGTGCAGCGGGAACTGTCATACACCATGAACCGCATTCGCATAATCAAGAACAACGAGAGTGCCTGGAACTATTTAGTGGGTGTGATACGGCAGGGAGAGAATGGAAAAGGTCAACTGAACAGCTACCCGGAGGTGGTGCAGTTCGTGGAGGAGATCTACCAGTCTGGCAACCGATCCCCCTATCTGCTGGCCTTCCTCATCGATCTGTACCAGGAGCAGGCACTCCAACTAAAACACGGCGACAGCGAACAGTTGGCCCGTAAGGTATACGGCCTGTGCGATGAGATGGCCAGCAAGCACGATACGATCCGTAGGAAGTACTGGCAGTATGTGGCCAACCATTTGAAGAACCAACTGAGCAAAGTCGAGACGAAGCAGCAACAGCAGTAGTCCAGGTTCTAAATTCTTTTTTGCTTAGTTTTAAACCATTTACGACGTACTTAGGCCTTCTTTATAAATAAATAAAATTAAATTTACCAGTCTAACAGTAAGTGTCTAGCATGTTGCAAAACACAACCTAGACATTGCCACATGTCATCATGGGCCACTGTCTTTGCGTTTGCCGCATCTGTCCCGACACGCTTTGTTTATCAAAGTGAGCTGTTGTGTTTGTACACGTAAATTTCATTAACAATGAGCAGATAATTTTAGCGCAGTGTGTACTCCAGATGAGGCCATTCAGCGGTTAAAGTGAGCTCGTAAATTATGGAAATAATTTAATGCTTTTAATGCTTGGCTTTAGGAAGAGCTTTTGTTTGTGTGCAAATTAATGTGGGAATATTTGGGCAGTAAAGTGCACAGCGTGGCAAACATTTAAGAAAATATACTACCCTTTTCTAGAGTGGAACTTCTCCCTCCCTTCAGTTATCTTGCTTAAGATTCTACTCGGATTCGTTATCTAGTTCGTCACAAACAGGAAGAACCTTCAGTGTGCTGTCTCAATATTGTTATTTATTTAAATTTGCTTCTTTAGTTTTTGTTTTTTTTCTCATTTGTTTTTAGTTCGAGTACATACAATATAGCAGTTGTAATATATAACTTTTTCATTAAATTTGATTTTCTTGCATATATTTTGAGATTCGGTTTTGCATTTTTATAATAGAAAACCTCCACAGATGATTCCAAAATTGACCGCTAATCCGGCTGGATTAAAATCATCTATAGAGAGAGTGGGAATCGGGTTTGGGAATATGTACTTAAAATGAAGCAGAAGACATCTTTGGCGTGTTTTTTTTTATTTTGTTTCTTTCTTGTTTAGTTCAGCTAAATAGGAGCAAAATCATTGAGTACTCGTTTGCATAGTTTAATAAAATTTCGTAATAATAAAATATATATATTTATTTTGTATTTTTGTTTGGTTTTCGCTTCGTTTCGTATTTTTTTTGGATTTGGGTATATATATATAAATTTGAAAAAAGCCTATAAATCCAAATTTAGTTGGTACAAGACCATTTAAAATCAAAGCACTTCGTTTGGGTCATCGAAAGTATTCAATATTATTTGAAAAATATATATGTAGTATTCTGAAACGGGTTCTTTAAAACAGGAAAGTGTGCAAAGCTCTGTTCCATGGCCCAAGCGAGAGATTTGTTTGTTTTTCGGTAGCAAAGACCGTTGATTCGAGATTATCTTCCTGTTCAGAAATTTTGCGTGGAGAGCCAGAAGAGAGAAGTAGATTGTGTGTGTTGTTTGTTTAGTTCGTTTAACAATTTGATATATAGAGTTAATATATATAATAGTTTTAATAAATTGATGCGCTCCTTGCTTTTGCTTCGAGACATTCTGTTTGTGTTTCTTGTTCGTTCTTGGAGTTCATTTTTGTAAAAGCATTTTTAGCAAAAAATTAAAAATTCTCTCTGTATTCGGTTCCCGTTTAAAATTTCTGACTTCAGCGCGTTCTTGATCGATTAAACCCCCCGTTAATGTTTAGTACTTGTCATCGAATCCTAATCAATACCCATATAAAATAAATCCCTTGATTCCGTCCGAAAATTCGCGTTCTCCGATCGACGTCGTCGCGTTTTTCTGTGTGAGGAAGCTTCATATACCATCTATAAATATACTCGTACAGTTTCTTGGTTTTCTCGTTAATATAATTGTTTAAAAAATCAACGCCACTTGATGTGTGCCATGTCCTGTCTGTCCTAAAGAGTCCTAAAAGGTGCTTACAGCTTTAAGCATAAGTTTAGCGTTGGCGTAGCGCTTCCATCGATCTCGTGTCCCTAACCCAACCTGGCCTACTTGTCCTCCCCGATGCCCTCGTCGGTCGTGGTCTTGCGCTCCCTCGCCTCGTCACCGCTGATATCACATTTTTCAGCCAACATATCCTCGATGCCCTCGTCCACGGTCTGGCTCTCGCCGGGCACATGTTTGCGCCGCAGCTTGGTCACCACCACGCACTCGCCCTGCGGTAACGGCGGAAACTTGCCGTAGGCCGTGTTGCCAATGGTTCCCACGGTGCTGTCCTCGTAGCAGTCCGGGGTCATCCGCACCCGGCACGTCTCAAATGCCTTCTCGTAGCCCAGCTTTGTGTACAAGCTACGGGACGCATCATTCCCGGGACGTATCACAACGAAGGGCGTATATCCCCGCTCGATCACCAATTGGGTCAGCGACTTGGCAAGACGGATGCCATAGCTGTAGGAAGATATATGTATTAAAAACTGTGTAAATTGAGACAGTATTAGAAGTGCCTTTCGAAATATCTGACCATTCTTGGGTCAATTGATTTAAAAACATAATTAGGTCACCGAGGTTTGGTTTCGGTTCGAATTAGCTTTCAAGAGACACCCCGTAATTCTAGCTCTGTTTACCCCATGCGCCTAAAGTCTGGACGTGTTTGCATTGAGAACATGGCGCCGTAATATGAGTGGACCATCCAGGCGGCTAGCTCCCCAGTTTCCTTGCGAAAGATGCCCAAGCCGGGCAGCTTGCGCACAAGGATGTCAAACAGCTGGACGCACTCGATTTCGTTGGCAGGATATAAATCATGGATGCCCTGCACGTTGTCCAGGTTCAGCAGACGCATCTCCGCATCCTCCGGCAGCGGCTCCAGCTCCAGGTCGGCGTTCAGCTTGTTGCACACGTAGATATCACCACTGAGTCGTTCCATCACACCGAACTTCGAGTAGAAGTCATCCAGGCGATTCATAATGGCGATGTGCGTAAAGTTCAGGTACATAGGCTTCTGCCAATCTATAAGTACATCTTCGGTGCGCATCATATCGACATGCTCGATGTGTGCGGATGGACAAAATATGCCAAGAGTTTGATATATATTGTTGTGCGGCTAAAACAAGTAATTCAACATTAATTTATTTTACTTGAACATAGTGACCCCTCAACTCACCGCAAGCGTGCATCCTGGAAAATGGAGAATTATCGGTTTCTCGGGCCATTCTTTAGCAACATAAAACTTAAAACCCCAAATACGATCATTCAGGTACGTTTTTATGGTTTGATGAAACTGCAAGTAGAAATTAACACATTCAAATTGAATAAAGTTAGCTTATACTAATCTTTAGCAATATAAAACGTATAACACAGGTACGTTTTATAATTTAATTGATGAAACTGAAAGTAGAAATGAATTCAAATTAAATATCTTTTTAAAGTCTCAAATTTTGATTGGCTATTATAGTATTAGTTTACGGGTCTATTTTATCGAACGGTCAGGACTTTATAAAATATGATAAAAGTTTATTTTCAAAGAGTCAAAGTTTAAAATCCAATCGTTTATATTTATGTTTATCTGTATATTTTGGTCTCAACAATTGAAACCGTCGTGCTTGAAGTCACACTTAATTAAATTAAATTGCACCACTTTACTTCTTTAAGCACTACCCATTTTTAACAATTACAAAACGCATGTCGTAAAAGCATTTTCCCAGCCGCTGGCATCGCATTCCCAGAGCTGTTGGTACCCGCCCCGGAAAAAAGTTGCTCGCTAAAAATCGAAACTTTAAGCAACTCCGGTGGTGGCCAAATCCTTGAGGCCGGAGCCAAGCCATAGATATAGCCAACAAAAGCACAAAAGCACGTGATGTTCGGGGCGGAATGGCATTAAAAATTGAACAAAAAAATACAAGTGTAAACAGTGAAAACAGGTCAACAAAAAAATTGCGAGCCTGGCTTTGAGGGTTTGGGATTGCATGACTTGTGGTCTCGGTCTCGGTAGTTGTAACGCCTCCTGACTGCCAAGCCCCCGCATTCCTCCTCAAACTGCAGGTAATTGTTGGTAAATTATCTGAGAATTGGGCGTGGCATCTGGGGAATATCTTGGTGCCAAGTCGGGCATACAACTTCCACGAGAAATAAAGTCGCAAAAAGTAAGGCCAGTGATGTGTTAGCATTTGATACGCACCTTTAATGATTCCGGCAGATAGCGTTCTAAAGTTACCAAAATTTCTGGAAGCTCTGATTCTTGCACCAAACGAAAGTGTTTACCTTCAGGAATGATTTCCATTTCTGTAACGAAAATAAAGCCAGGTTAACCTTTTGTGTAATGTTCATTGCCTAATGTATGAGCAGGTGTTTTTATATTTTTGTATATTTAGAATCCCTATACGCCCATCAAGGTCTCACGTTTTGGCTTCTTTCAAGGCCAAAGCTCAACAATAGAAAAGTTGGAAAAGCAAGAGTCACATTCCGTTGAAAAGAGAGGGAGTAAAAAGAACCGGGGCACACACGTCCGGATGTTGAGGATGCTCAGCCGCAAATGGTTTGACGGAAAATGGATTGGCTTTTCATATCCATCGGCAACTAGGGCCCCCAACTACTTAGCCATTCAAATTGGTTGTGCATCGGAAGGACATTGGCAATTGAGCCAAATTAGCAGGAAAGTGCAATGCCAAAACAGGTAATCACCATCAAATTTCGCCCAATAATCAATTTGATTCGATTAACTGAAATTTTGTTCAATTACTGTCTACTTTTAATGACATGATTGGACTAAACTAATTGCTTGTTGGTATGGCTGAAAATCAACTTAAATTAAAGCAATGGCAAACGAAAATTTGAATTCTATATAAGAAATATTCAAGCGGTTCCATTAATTATAGAGCTATGCAAAAAAACAATTTGTTAAACTATCTGAAAGTTTTGAATGCCGCAATTAATATAATAATCTGTCATGCTGAACAAAAGTGTGTGATTTCCAGAATATTTGCAACTTAATTTGTGTTTTCTTGTTTTTATCGCAAGATTGATGGCCGTAGTGATTGATTGACGAATGCGCCAAATATCATTATCCTTCACTCGTCCATGGCATGTGCTACTCCTCCTCTGCAATTCGCCGCCCGCCAGGAGTTACTATGACTATTTATTGCAGTTATTTGTGTGCCCAAAACGAATGTAATAATGGGGCACATGCTGGCTGGAATTAGTATTAGTCATGTTGTACATAAGCCAAGGTTGCAGGTGGCGGGGCGTGACAAAAGAGGAGCAGGGGGTCTAGACTACTGGCCAAGATATGCCACGTATCCGCATCACGTCTGATTCGGCTCAGACGGTGCTAAACACTTGGGTCCCCTAGCAAAATCAATATCAGACTTGAGCATTTGCTATTCCTGTTCTTCGTTTATAGCAAAAAAAATAGCAATTTGAATGAAATCACAATTTAGGGGCATAAAGTATTTTAAAAGACTTTTTTCATATTCTAACATTAAAATAAGTTTATCATATTCTAACATATATTCGCTCTTTAAATAGTATAATAGTTAAAGAATTAGGTAGGATTTAAATTTACTAAGATTTACCTGCTGAAAAAGTTCATAATTCGGATTTTTCTATTTTACTGCCAACTTAAAAAGTTGTTTGTATATATTTTGTTCATTATTAACTATATGAAAAGTATAGTTAAAGTTCGACTATATTTCGCTTTGTGCAACTTTCCGAGTTGCACCACAAAAAATAGCGAAGTGGTGGTGGGTCTGAGAATGATGGGTCTGATATGACAGTTTCTGTTGATTTTATGGATAAAAATACCGTTGACATTTCACAGCGACACCCCCGCGGGTTTCCGAAGGCAGACGCGACACCGCAGGTGCCGACATCGCCCCGAGAAAGTCCCACTCGTACTCACATTCGCATTCCAATCCCGAGCCCTTTTCGGCCATAGACGGACGTACTACCCCGCCCACGCCTTTCTCCTTTACCTGTGGCATGCTATCGCACTTGTCAGCCAATTTATTCTGGCTAAGTTTGCTTCTTTTTCTGCCTAATTATTGAGTTGCCATATGGCTGTGATGCGTTAAATTTTAATACCCTGGACGGAAGGGCATCATGAATTGGTCATGAGCTGGCTTCCCTAAAACCCGGATGGGATCGGAATCAGGGTGAAACGACTTGAAAGTGAAAGGAGCGGGGATGAATGTGAGTGTTTGCTAAATTCCAGGAATATGGAATTGGCGAACAAAGAGGGATCGACAAATAGGAGAGAACCTCTTTCCAGGACCTCAGGTAAAAAAAAATAAAAGAAATAGAAGAAAAAACTGTAAGAGGAAAGTAGGGGTTACCTTGAAATTGAATAGGACACAGTTTTGTAGAAATATATTTAAGAATCTTTAGGTGGAAAAATGTAATTAAAAGGATAACAAATGAATAAAGAAACGGAATTTATGCAAATGGATAAAGTACATAAAGTAGATTTATAATGGCCATAAATATAAAGTGAAGGCAAGGCATGGATACAGGTTACTTGCCATATCAGGAACGCTTATAAAGATGGGAGGTTTCACATGATTCATAAGTCTTCAAAAATATTTGATTTCTATTAGTGATACAACAGGGTGCAAGCCCATTGAAAAGCGAATTTCTAGGAACCCTTGGCGGCTGATTACAGATGCGATTTCTTGAGGCGCATCCACGCTAATTGACATGCACATGTGCATCTTTGGGAATGGCGCGCAGAAAAGTTAGCGACATGTTCTCAATTAAAAACGAAAAAATCAGATCCCAGAAATGTGCATAGGGCAACCCACAATTCCCAAAATGTTTTTGCTTATGAAGTGCACTTACAAAAAATATTAATTCCGTTGACCTTGTGTGAATTTGAGGCTGCCTTGGCTGGTGGTGCGGCTTCTGCTTTTTGGTGGTTGTGGTGGTGGTGCTGCTTTTGCTTTTTCTTTTGCGGTTTTCGATTTTATCCTTGAGGCGTGTCAGCTTTGCGTGTGCGAATTTATTAAGATTTATTTTAAACGCTCACCGAATTATTTGTGATTTATATTTGAAAATTTATAAAATAAATTGATTTTTTTCTTTTAGTTAAGCTTTTTTTGTTGGTTTTGAAAAAGTGCAGTATGAAAATAATTGTTGTTTATAAATTTATGTTTTTTTTATGCAAATCACAGATTTCTTTATTAGAAAAATTTAGTTATTATTTTAGGCTGCAGTTTTTGGTTGATAGATTAGTTTATCCTTTTTAATGGGAAATTCTGGAAGTTCTTTTAGTTTTTTTTCTGCTGCTTTGGTTAGGCCTTTTTTGAATGGAGATGTCGGCAGGCTGTGATTGATTTTTCTGGTTCTTGTGCTGTTGATTGAATGCCCAGTGGGCCTAACTTGATGGACTCGACTGTTGTGGTTGTCTCCGCCTGAATTTACAGTTAGTTCGCTATTCTCCTCCTTTTCTTCTTGTGCTCCCCTTTGCTCCTCTTTGCTCGTTTTTAGCCCCCGTTGCACCTCCACCACTGATGGCCTAACCAAACGGCGTTTCTTCGCTTTTTACCGTTAACGTCCAGGCGATTCTCTGCGCGCTTGTGTGTGTTTGGTGTGTGTGTGCTACGCGCGGGAGTGTGTGTGCATGGCGTTGGGGGCGGCGGGGAAAAGGGGGCGGCTGCTTTGGAGTTTTGCAGCCGATTAATAATTCTCGGCGATTCGCTTTCGAGACGCGTCTATCGTTGCAATTTGTGTATTTTAACAGAAAATTGATTTTCTATTGCGGCCTGGCCTGATTTCAGCTTCCCTTTCGTCCTGTGTGTGGGTTGTTAAATCCTGGCGGCGCCCTCAGTTTTGATTTACTTCAGTTTTTTTTTTGGCCACACACAACCAAGGACATTCACGCACACACACACACTCACTGGCACACACCGACACACGCACCCACAACGGTACACGCACAGTGAAATTGAATTTGAGTTCGAATAATTCGATTGCAGATGGTTTTGGGAACTTTTTGCATCAACTGTGGACTGGACTGCTTGCTGCTGCGTTGTTGCTGTTGCTCCAATTCGCTGTTGTTGCCTTCGCCTTGGATGGATTTTCCTCGGATTTCCTGGTGGTTCTCTGCTTGATGTCCACTGCGAAAACCGAACTGAACTGACTGACTGACGACAACGAACTAATTTCGCAGCCCAAGGAGCAGCAGCTATGAAAACGCCGCAGCAACAGCAGCAGCAGCAGATGTTGCTGTTTTCGCCGCAGACTGTTCGTGTTGTTGTCGGTGTTCCACAGTGGGTCGGTTTCAATACTTTTTCCAAGGTTCTAGTAAAGTGTCAAAATAATTTTTAATTTCAGATTTAAGGACTCCACTTATAATAATTAGTCTTCTTGGCTTCAATTAAAGAATAAAGGTACAATTACATAGTGTTATGTCGAAACTAACTGCAACTAATCGAATCATATTATCTTTAAGGTAGATTCAATATTCCTTTCACCGATTATTCGAAGGAAGATGTATTAAATTATTCCATACCAAACAAGTTTTTCAGTCGTACTTTATGAAACTAAATGTTTTATTAAACTTTGATTATTTCTTGATTTATTTATTCTTGATTTTCTAGCGAAAACATGTATTCATATCAAATAAAAAAATATCTTTTGTGGACTACTGTGCATCGCTTGCAAAACCGAGAACGAAGGAAACTGCAACGTGGCAGCAACGTCGTCATTTTCCCTCTCACATTTCTCCATTTCTCACCCCTTGTAATTCGCTCAACTCTCTCTCAGGTGCACTTGCAAAAATAATTGCAATCGTGGGGTAAGTATGAACTTAGCTGAGATCAAAATTCTCTGTCATATATGTAAATATGTACCCAACCTTAATAAACCCAATACGTGCTATAGAGAATTTAAATAGTGTGAAATGAAATCTAAAATTGGGCTCTATGAAACGCCAATAAAATAAATAATTCAATGTTTTAAATGGAGAAAGTAATAGGGCAACTACATTAGTTCCTGAAAGTATGCAATACATTTTTTCAAAAACTCTGAATTTTCCGTTTATTTTTACATTTTTACCGCAGTTTAAATAGTATAATATATACTATATATGTATATATGTCCTCATACGTCCGGTTATGTTCAAATGGCATTGAACGATTCCGGCGCAAATAAATAATTTTAAAAAAAACATTTTTACCGCTTTAAATACTCATGTATTATTAATATTTAGTTGTCTTTTAGTTGAATTTCTCACATTTCTTTCAGTGCGCCTGCTCTTTGTGTTTACTCGTCTTCGTCCTTTGGCCTCCCACCGCCGACTATTGCAATTGTATTTGTGCTCTCCCGCGTCGGTGTTGCCATCCTCCTCTCTCTCGTCTAGTGGGAGAGGTGCGAGAGCGAGCGAGAGCACGCGACTGCGACTGACGGGCGAAAAAGCCGAACGTTCGACTCACTCCAACTCCTTAAAGCAAATGGATGAGGAGTTTGGCTTTTGTTTTGCACGTTGCCCAGCGGTAACTGTACACCGTGTACATCAGATTGGGATATGCGTTTTCAAAACACATTAGGCGGCAAAACAACAAAAGCAAAAGCGCTGGAAAATGGCCACGGCGTCAGCGCAATACGTATACGCCACGTAGCGCCGCCACTTTTGGAGCACGTGTCACTAAAGCCGGTCTCTCTCTCTCTCTTCTTGCAGGCTGGTTCTCCCTCTCCCTCCCCATTTCGCGGCTGCCTGTTGTTTTTGTTTACGCCGCTCAGCTGTGAGGACGAAAAAACCGTTGTTGCCGAAAAAATCCATTTTAATCGCCCGAATTTGGAGTGATATGCTATGGCTATGCCAAGCGAAATCCGGTCGACTTGACCGGAAAGCCTTAAGGCGGTCCAAGGTCGCGTGTACAATTGACATTTTTATTGGCATTAAGTGGTGCAGGGACTAGTTTCGGTTTCAGTAGTTCCAGTAATTAAGGCAGACATGAAGACGCGCCAAAAAAAACACGCCTGGAAAGCTAGGACTCCGAAGTACACGGAGAAAAAAGGGTTGATATCGAAAGGAGATACGCATGCCAAGAAATCGCTTATGATTTTACATAGCTATCCAAAAGTATGCTACGACTTAATATTTTAGTAAGCGAGTCAAACTTCGAAGGATAAATGGCCAAACAGGATGAACCATTTTTTATAGCATACTTTTAAACTTATTTTAAAGGTATTTCAAATCGCTAGAGATATTTCGATTTTTCATATAATTAGGATGTGTTAATAAGGTGATCAATATGATTTCAACAAATTGAAAAAATTAAACCTTTTAAGTTCTCTTAAATTTTTTAAATAATTATCAAATTTTAATTTGTACATTTTTTTTTTGTAATATTTTTTTTTGTGTAGTTTGTGTGTGCTGCATTCGAGTTGCGACTTTGCCGCCATGCCACATGCATCATGAATCACGCAAATTCGAGGCACGCAAAGACAATGACGGCGGTCCCCGTTCCTAAACCCGCCACGCCCCTTTTCGCACCACTCGCCTGGTGTCGAGGACGCATAACTCCGGCGTTTGTAATCAGGGTCGTCATCGCGAAACTATAGTTATAATAGATACAAAATTTACCCTCGCTGGCATTTCCAAGGAAACTTTGCTCGTAAAAGCCGGAATAACAGTTAGCATTCATACCGCCCATTGGGGTCTATGGCATTTAGTCAGGTGTCCTAAGATTGGGAGAATTGGAATTTGGATCCCGGCAGTGAAGTGCCGACAGCCGAATGACAGTAAAACACTGGCCTTGAGGCCATCTATTAAAATTTATACTCAACTAGAACCGAAATACCACACCAGACAAGATATGCACTGTACGGAAATGTGGGATTCCCATAACCATATAATGTAAACTAATATCCATTTACTGTTATTGATTAATTAAGCTAGAACGGAATTGAAATGATGTACAAATTGACCAATTCATAAATATGTACACACAAAAAAATATTTATTTATTTTTTATTTAATATTGAACATATTTAAACAAGCATGTAAAAGTAAAAGATCTGTAGCATGCTTTTGATACCTTTTTAAAAGTTATTTTTGTGGAAATATTCTAGAAACTTTTTAAACTTCCAAATTTTAAAAACTCTTTAAATTGCCCTTTTAAAAATCTGAAACTTGGTAAAAAGGATGATTAGTAAATACAAAGAAAATTTGTAAATAAGTTCAAGAACGCTTTTCTCAGTGCACTTTGGTATAGGGGCTTTCTGCGAACGGCGGTGTTGACAAACTGCTCGTCGAGTTTTTGGCTTCGACGACATTGCTTTCGCTTTGGCGACTTGGCGCCTCGTCCTTGGCATGAAGTTCGTCGCTGGCCTTTAATTAGCTTTACTCGGATTACTCATACGCCATGAGGTCTGGGGCCGGGCCGGGTCGGTATTGTTTCCATTGTTTCAGTTTCAGCACTGGCATGCGGATGTGGATGTGGTTGGATGGTCAAACGTGCATGTCGGGCACGTGTTCGGGTTAAAGTTAAAGCGAGTGGTCTTAATGTCAGGGTCAATGCAGGCGACTTGCATGTGGGGTCGATTGGTTGACAGGGGTAAAGGGAACACCCCTCCCCGCAATATTTGAGGCATATAATACTCACTGACGTTGCATAAATCAAAATATAACAAAATAAAAGGGGAAACAAAAGTTCGGTTTACAATGTGTGTTTTGCTGCTCGAGAGAGATACAATATTTATTCAAAAGCAATTGACCGGGCGCTTCTGTCGGCGACAGCTGCACACTCGGGGGACATAGCTGACACACACACGTGGCTACCAAACGGCTATATAGTACATAATGAGTACTATAGCTTATGCAGATAATAAAAGTGGCCTTGCCACTGGCAATTAGAGTTATTTTCACTCGCAATAGGGGACATGTTGGTGCTGCAACGTGCCCACAAATGGCCCAAACATGTGCATGAATAATACAGATGAACGTTAAGGACATTACTCAATTGTTGGTTTAGAGAAATGGGAAATCAAGGTAAATTTATCGTGCGAAAGTAACTTACATTACAGGAGTAACAATTGCAAATTATTGTTTGTAAAAACATAAATTATTGTAAGCAATAAACTTTAATCAATTTAAACTGGAAAGTTACTGAAAATTAATTAATGCGTGCAATTTAAACACTTTATTTAGATTTATTTATTGCCCTAATATTTAAATATATTTCCGAGTGTCATAGCAATAAGCTTCAAATTGGTAGTCGATTTCCCGCCAAGAAAGTGTGACCAGTCAGTTCTAATTGTGAAATCCTACCCGGCTTATAGAAGCGTCTTGGTATTTAAAGTGAAGAGAGCAGCGTTTCCAGCTGTTTATTGAGTTTCAAAACATAACTTAAATATAATAAATTATTGAACAATGTCTACTTTTAAGCCGAAATTCTTGAAACCGGATACAGACGATGCAATTTCAGATAACGTCGGCGGCGATCAGCAGTCCTCAGCCTTTGTATTCAATGCCAATCACAATCTGGGTCTTGTGGAGCAGGTGGGTGCACTTTCATTGTTTGTGAAATAAACAAACTAATTTCAATTAATTCCAGAGAGAACGCTTGCCCATACGTCAATATCGTGAACAAATTCTGTATTGTTTGGAAAAGCACCAGGTGGTAATTCTAGTGGGTGAAACAGGCAGGTTTGTATAGAGTCACCAAAGAAGTCCCCTAAGTTTACACTTTTTTATGTGTTTTCCAGTGGCAAGAGCACACAGGTACCCCAGTATTTGTACGAGTGGGGCTGGCATTCTAAGGGACTCATAGGCATCACCGAACCCCGGCGTGTTTCCACCGTAAGCAATCCTATATCATCCGTGTATATCCAAAATTAATAACTCACTTTTCAGGTTACCCTGGCGAATCGGGTGGCCCAAGAACGCGGTGAACTGGTGGGCGATACAGTGGGCTATGTGGTGCGCTTCCTTGAAAGGATAACCGCGGAGACCAAGATCAAGTTCATGACCGAGGGCATCTTGCTGAGAGAGCTCCTCGCTGATCCGTTGCTCACTCAATATGGCGTTATCATCGTGGATGAAGCCCACGAGCGGAATATGCTCACCGACATGGTGCTGGGTCTGCTCAAGAAGATTCTGCGCAAGCGGAGCGGCCTCAAGCTCATCATTTCGTCGGCCACCATTGATGCGGGCTTCTTCAGCGAGTTTTTCAGCTGGCCAGGATCAGGAGAAGTCAGTGTGAAACTCAGCATTGAAGGACGCATGCATGCTGTGAGTAATTTCTACATTACCGAGCCCTGTGCTGATTACGTCAAAGAAACGGTGGAAACGATCTGGAAGCTCCATCAAAAGGAACCGCCCGGCGATATTTTGGCCTTTTTAACCGGCCAGGAGGAAGTCCTGGAGGCATTGGATCTCCTACGAGAATACATCGCCAGTTCAGAGAAGGAAAATCTAAAGGTGCTGCCAATGTACGGAAGCATGTCGAGTACCGATCAACTGGCGGTGTTTTTTACCCCACCTAAAGGTATTCGGAAAGTGGTACTGGCCACGAATATTGCAGAAACGTCTATCACCATTCCAGGCATAGTTTATGTCATAGATTGCGGGTACGTCAAGGTAAAATGGTACAATCCCAACACCTGCAGTGACAGCTTAGTCGTAGTTCCAGTATGCAGGGCTTCGGCGATTCAAAGAGCAGGACGAGCGGGACGTATGCGTCCAGGGAAGGTCTACCGTTTGTACACTAAATCAGACTTTGATGGACTAGCTCCTCGGCAGCCACCAGAAATGCGACGCAGTGAAATGAGCGGAGCTGTACTCCAATTAAAAGCTTTGGGTATCAAAAACATACTGCGCTTCAACTTCCCTTCGCCACCACCGGCACAGAATCTTCTGTCTGCTTTGGAAGGACTCTTTGCCCTGGACGCTATCGATGAGCAGGGCAATCTGACCAAGCCGGTGGGTTATTTGCTTGCCGAGCTGCCCTTCAGCGCTATGCTTTCCAAGATGCTCTACGTTTCTGGGCAGATGGGCTGCTCTGAGGAGATCATAACTATCATTGCGATGCTGCAAGTGCAATCTATATTCTCGCGACCAGTTTCTGCCGTTGCCCAGCAAAGTGGACGCATCGCCCATCGACATTTTGAGGTCGCCGAAGGGGATTTCATTACCCTCTTGAACGTGTACACCGGATTCGTGGAGGAGGGCATGACGAAGGAGTTTTGCGGCCAATACTACCTCATCTATAGAAATCTTAAAAGGGCCCACGAGCTGAGAGAGCAACTTATTACTTTAGCTAGAAAGAAGTATGGTATTCCTATCTTCTCTTGCAAAGGCGATGTAGAGACGTTGTGCAAATGCATCACGGCCGGCTTCTTCACTCAGGTGGCTTATCTGCATCACTCTGGAGTTTATCGTCAAATTAGCAGTGGCACCGAACTGGCCATACATCCAAACTCCACGCTTTACACATTGCCCCAAGCGCAGTATGTGGTTTACGGGGAATTGCTCCAGACGACGAAATTGTTCATGAATCACATTACAGTGATCAAGAGGGAATGGTTGACGGAGCTGGCTCCACATTACTACCAGCAAACCACAGTGCGGGATTAGCAGGAAACGAAGTATTAGGGATACAAGTAAGTATATTATTTATGGGACGATTAGATGCTGTATAGTCCAATCATTTTGTAAATAAGTTAAGCCTAAACTCAAACAATTCAATCGATTAATTTAGTTTATTGTAACATTATAGATAAACGCCTCATAAAAACAACTTAAGCTTAAAGGATGTGATTCTGGGACTATTCTCTTTTGGATCCTAGCCAGCGGCCACACGCCCTCGACCCTGGAACAACATCATGGACTCGGGACCGCGGATGACACGTGACATCAGCTCCCAGCACATTTTGGCGGGCAGAAGACTGAAAAATAACGTGGTCAATTACCTCATATATGAATATATTATTAAATTACTCACCATTTAAGTGGAGTAAGCAGGCGTATCGAGTTGGGCAGGACGCACCACACCTCGTTACAGCGGACAGCATTCTCGATACGATCCGCTACATACTGCGGCTCCAGCATCGGCATCATTCGTGGACGCACCCCCGAGAACATGCCGGTATTGATGTAGTACGGACAGATCAGACTCATCTGGATTTGGTCATAGCCATGGGCCTTCAGATCCGTGAGCAGACTTTCGTGGAAACCAATGCAGGCATATTTGGTGGCCGCATAGTCACTGCAACCGTAGGTGCCCAGCATTCCAGTAACCGAGCCCACCGTCACAATATGACCACGATTATTCCGCATCATGTGCGGAAGAAATGCCTTCACGGTCCAGTAGTGCGAGATTATGTTGATATTATATGTGTTTTGGATGACTCGATCGTGCAGCTCCCAGAAGGGCTTACAGCATACGATTCCCGCATTGTTTATTAGTATATCCACCGGACCCACTTCCTCGGTCACCTGTCTGGCTCTCTGGTAGATTTGCTCCCGATCTGAGATGTCCACCACATAGCCCTTGCAGTCGTAACCATGTTTGGCCAACAGATCCACCGTTGTCTTTATAGCTGAGCGGAAAAATATTGTCAAATATTGTTTAGCTAATCAAATTGTAAATGTAACAGCTTTCACTTGCTAGCGGGTTTTTTGACCCGCTCTGCAGAAGCTGTGACGGACTAATTAGCACGATGGTGCGATTTCGCAGACGACTACCTTCTTGATTGATATCCCAGATGACTATGCGGGCTTGAAGTTTAGCAAAGTTAAGTGCTATCAAGCGACCAACGCCTCCACCTCCTCCTGTAATGAGCACCACCTGACCAGAGATGTCCTGTTTGTGGGAAGAAAGTAGTAATATAATATTAAATATTAAGTAATAATATACAAATATTAATTATTACTACATGATAGTTGTAGTGTATGTTCATATGATAAGATTAGAGGATTGCTGTTGTCAATCTAATAAACAAAACAATAGTTTATTCAAATATCCAAATTAGTTATGCTAATGATTTTTATAATTGCTTTTCATTACAATGCATTAATTATCCTAAGTAAAAGGTTGCTAAAATTGTTTTTGATTTTTTTTATGTTTACACCATTTTACTTTATTTTCATTTTGTAGTCATAAACTGTAATATATGTAAGCAAACCTTTTTAGCATACGAAAAAGGTGCGACTGCCTTATAATGGTGCATTTAATATGACTCGTCCATTTTGCATAATTTAAAATTTTTGTTTTGCAAATGACTGTCTTGCAACATGTGCTTGAAGTTGTGTCGCAAATATGACTTCAACATTTATTTCGTTGGACCCACAACAAAGTTCAATCAATTTCAGCGGAGTTCATTCCTCTACAGCAGAGCATATCAGTTCCATAGTCATACTGCAGGGTAGGAAAATTGTTCAAGTTGTCTGCTAGACAGATCACAACTTTTTCTTTTGGATTGCTTGTAATTTATATATACTTTTCTATGCAATTTGTTTTTTTGGTGTGCGTGGAGCGTGCGCTTTGCAGCAACAGCAACAATGACTAAGGAAAAGGCAAGGTTTTGGATGAAGAAAACCTTGTTGTCATACTAAGCTGGTTACTGCTCATTGGACTGTCAAGTCATGGATATTTTTGGCCAGAAAATGAAGATGCGTTTAACCGTGGTAAACATTTATCCCAAAAAGATAAATAGCTTAAATTCAATGTCACCCTTGGGCTTGGTTAATTGAAGACAAAGCTCCATAAAATCAAATTTGCCTGCAAATATTTAAACAAATATTTTAAGTGCCCGTTTGGTAGTTCGAATACACAAATTCGTATCTTAGGTAAAGTCTGCCAAAATGTAAAATAGAAGAGGGTTCATTCATGAAAAGCCAGCAAAGCGTGTGAACAAAATTGTTTACCAACGAAGCACATCAAAACAAAGCAAAATGTTTGTCCAAACGCTTTTAACGACTATTTTATAACGCTTGCAAATGAGGTTCGTTAAGTGAAACAAATAAATTGGAAAGTTTTTATGCTGTGTGTTAATAAAAACAAGATAATTTTTTTCGTTTCTGATTGTTTATTTTAAACAGAGAGTACCAAAACTTCGAGTCTTAAACTTTTATTGTTTTTAAAAAAGCGAATATGATTTGTTTTTATTACCACAAAACTGCGCGTGGCTCATTTATGTTTGTGAAATTGCCAAAACTGGCAGTCTGCAAAAGAAAAAAAAACAAAAGAAATGACTTTGAGGTAGCTCTACCTATGATTGATTTCAAGTGGTTACTGGAAGCTGCTTTAAAAATGTTGATTTTTTTTGTGGGTGTCTTTTGACTTGTTGTGCAATCAACGCGGCCCAGGGTCAATCAAGCAAAGAAAGTCTATCAAGTTTAAAATAATTTATACATATTTCCGTTTTACCTTTAACTTTCTAAAACGCTGCGGCAGCAGACTATAATACAACGATTCCAGTATGTAGAATATAGATTTAAAGGTGAAAACTATCAGGTCGAGGAAAAACAGATAGAAAGCTTTGAGCGGATGATCCATGTGCAGAAGTCCCGGTGAAGCAGTCATGTTTGAAGAGTATTATTTCACGCCCTTGGCAATTAAATTGGGCGAGCACAAACGTGCGCGGGAGTTTCGATTTGGGTTCGGATTATATATTCCTTGCGCATGCGCGGCTGGAATGACTGATTAGGGCTGTGGTACACCACGCAAATGGCACTCGGCATGCACAATTTGATCACTTTTAATGGCGCTTAGTCGTGCATGTTAATGATCTCGATCCCGCACAAATGCAAATGTTATTCACTGGAATTTCTCTCTTCCTATCTGTCCGTCTCGGGTTTCGATTCGCACGACTTAAACTTTATGCTGGCCTTAAGCACTCACGTCCGCCTAGGCTGAAGTCACAATACCCACTGAACCACCGTATCCGTCTGGCGAAAAACCAAAACCTCGAGCCCAGACCAACGCTGTTTCTATTTTGTTGCCTTTTTCCATTATTCGAGATTCACATTCACACAATGGTAGAAGAAATGGTCGGCGGCATTGGCAGCATAAACCGAATTTGAGCACTTTCTTAATTTTGCTTTTGCTCTTTCTAGCCAAGCAGCTGTTGGCCAACTCGACCTGTTTCTTCACTCATTTTATTGTCTTAGTCGGTGAGTATTTGATTACGTTTTATGCTGATTTCGCTTCCATTTGCATGCTACATTGGACATTTGAAACATGTAAAAACAGTCTAGACCAGCTCTTTAAGGCGATCTTGCGAACATAACAACTCAATCAGTTTGTAAAAAACATATTTCACTAAATTAATATTTTTTTTTTTTATAAATTTTTAAGTTGTATTGTTGTCACCTTGGACAAAAAAAGTAAATAAATAGAATATATGTAGAATAAATGGAATAGAATCATTAATTAGAAAGGATTTATTTTATAAGATACATTTTTTTTCAAAATCATCACTATAAAATTAAAAACCCAGATTTTAATCTTGCCTAATAAACTATTTGCATGAAATTTTAATAATCCCAAAATATATGCCCAAAATGTACCGGTTTTTATAAAAGTACCGTTAAGTATGCAATGCTATCTGAACAACCAAATTATTTAGACAGATTTAAACGGCAACGTTTGTCGTCGCTTCAGGTACAACAGTACACAGTTGTTAAGATTTAAGATCAGTATGGTAAATGCAAAGATAAGATGAGTAAAGTAAATTAGCATCAGTCAAGAAGATACTTTCATTTAAGAACTCTGGATGGCGCCTAAACACTGGTTCTTTGATTTGAAGTCACCTAACTAAAATGCTTTTTTAATCGTGAACTGAAAATAGAACAATGGCGTCAATCAAAAGCATAATTTCTATACTTTAATCGTTTTAATTGTGTTCATTATTTCATAAATTAAACTAAATAAAATATGCCGTGTTTTTATATTTGTTTGAATATTAATCATAAAATTTGTGACTTTTTGTTTTTTAGTTAAATTTTCTTATCTTCTAATTATTTTCATGAAGTGTGCTACCTATGAAGTAGTTATGTATGTGTTTATTGATTTCGTTACTTCTTTTGTTTAAGTATTTACTCAAATCCCCTCAAGTTGGTCAATAAAGTCTCCAACTTTATGAATACTGTTTAGGTACTTTATTGAAGTTTGACAACGGCATCTATTAGTAAATTGAGTTCTAAATTCATAGAATTAAAAAAAAATTATTAAAAACTGATTTTATAATTTATTTTTTCCGTCATATTCTCATTAAAAAGAAGGTTTACCAAATCATTTTATATTTCACTCTGGAAACCGTTTTAAATAATCTATTGTTTCTATTCCTTCTTTATCTCCTAAATATATATTTATTTAGTACATTATTGGCCTTATTAATATATCTGATCGTCAGGAGAGGTTGCAGCATCACCTGCTTTATCGATACCGATTCCAATCAATTTCAGTCACGCGGCAATCGTCACGCGGCCAACAAAACTACCGATATTTTCGCCAGGCGCCCAGAAACCCGCAGTGCGACGTTTCGACCCTATCGATACGAGCAATCCGACGGATACACACAGTCCCAGTCCCAGTCGCAGTCACAGATACAGATACACCCATACACACACGCACACACACAGATACAGAGAGACGGAGCTGATTTGGTTTCTGCTTCTTTTATTCGTCGCAACTTTGGTTGGTGGTTTGGTGAATGGTGCTGCCTGCACTTGGATTTTGCCGCACCACTCTGGCCCCCGGAACCGTTGCTACAGTTTATTGGTCGGCAAGCGTTCGCCCAGTGCCTGCATTCGAACGGCGAGAAAATCTAGAAAAAAACTTCAAAATTTGTGTTGGTCGAATGACACAAACCGCCCACCAGGCACTCAGGAATAAATAGATGGTGTTTGCCCTCATATAGTTGGATGGTGGCTCTTATTGGCTGCCGTCACAGCTGCTGCCGCTCCGCATTTCGTGCGCACACACACAAGGACACGAATGCCTCATGGACGCCTTGTATTGTTTGTATACCCTTGCGGAGGGTATTCCAATTTCTGGTCTCATATTTCCCACCCCAAATTTATTTGTCCATTCTGCCATGCGATTTACCCTCATGGTTTTAAACTACTTTCTATTGGGTTCTTTTATATAAACACAGATTAGCTGAGAAAATCGAAGATCCGCAGACCGTACTAATATATCCTATATTTATCATTTATAGAACTTCTTTTAAATTTGATTAAATTAAGACAATAATAAACTATAGTTTTTGTTTTTTTGTTGATTATATATTAAAGTTATTATTTTAAAAGAGTTTATTAAAACTATATTTTATAATATAAAATTCGACATTTATATATAATGTATGGTTTGTCAATATACAAATCCAATGAGAAGAATAATTTAAATATTTAGTTATAAGGCAACACAACAAAAAGTTGGAGTTGTTTTTAAGGTACTCCTGTTTTACTTAAAAGCCCATCTGTATCACAAGGCAACCATAACTTTTTACATCGATCTAACTAATCATATAACCTAATAACATTTTTATGTTAATTTCAAAGGGTATCTCAACTGCGACTTGCCAATTTAAATTCTCTTTACGTTAGTGATAGCGGCCAGGCCGGTGTCAGCTGTTTACTGTGACTGGTGCGACAGGCGCAGACCAACCAGAAATGCTTTAAAGCGGGGATAAAGCCATTACAGGCCAAAGTGGCCAGAATGGCCAAGTGGCCCTTGGCCAGCCAAAAGAACAGGGCAGAAACTCCGAAAACGATCTGATGATGCCCCATTCGATAAGTCGCAGTAGAATCTGCAGAAGAAAAACATGTTCATCTAGGGCGAGGGGGGATACCTTTCAATCCTGTTCCTCAATTATGTGGGTGGAGTTCGTATTTCATGTGGCATTGGCCATTGTTTGGCCATTGCATTCGATGATAGGTCCCGGGCCTATTGGCAATCACAATTGTAATTGGCCTCTTGTCTGATTGACTCGACCGCCCGCCCTTCCAACCCTTTAAGAACCCCCCAATACCATGACATAATTGCCGAGCTGTAATCGTGTGTATGTTGCAGGGCGCAACAGGTGAGTCTTTGGGGTCTTACGTTGGGGCCCTGACTGGTGTTAGAAAAATGCGGCCAGCAGCAAACCGCTCTCGCCGACGCAACACGCTCGCTCCCCGTTGGCTGGCATTAAAGTGACTTTTTTTCAAATAAAATTTTGTGTAGTGCGATTTGTTGTATCGCGCGTCCGGTAACAGGCGCCCAGGAAAAATAGCCAGCTGATTGCCGACATTTTTGCAGCCTCAGTTTTCTTTGGCTCGTGTGGGTGCCGAGCGGGACGGCTATAGTGTGACCGGCGTTTTTAGCATGCGCCAGAGCTAGATAGCAATAGTTCGGGGGGGAAAGCTATGTGCTGGTTCATGTCTCCGCTAACAGTTTGGGTTCGGAATGCTTTCGCAAGCTCATTTTTCTCTAGTAAAACTAAAATTTTAAAATATTATAAATATTCGTATTTACATGTAGTTTTTTAAAAAATTTGGAATGTTATCCGGTAGATATCGGTAGATAATCGGAGAACTATATAGAGGTCATTCTGGGAATTGGGACAAGCTACGTAACGTACCCTCCATGAAATATTAAATATATATTTTCAAATATTTTTATAGGATCTACATACGCTAAGAGAAGATAACATTACAATACACAAATCAGTACATATTTATCGTATTTAACGCGATTTAAATTTGAAATAAAATAAATAGAAGAACCCTTTTTATTTTACGGGTAACTGGTATATAAAGAATCTATGTCATGATTATAAATGACCTTTAAAAACTAACGATTTAAACGAACTATTTATAAGTATGCCGGTTTTTTAAATATACCCCATAAATGACGCAGGATGTCTGTTGTCACTTAAAGAAAATTCGTAGAATCTACGAATTCGATTATTCTAAAATATTCACGCAACTTGTTATGATAGGTTATGACGCAGGTTTTTAGACAGTTTAAAAGAAAACCCCCTAGTTTATGTTCGAAAGCGAAAATATATGGGCCCGCTAATCAATTATGGCGTTCCGTTGATTTTGTGGCTTATGAATTTTTAGGTGGAAAGCTCACACCCAAATTAATATTTATTCAAGCAAATACAGAGGCCACGCGTATTAACAACTGCAAATATTTAACGCATCTCGAAGTTGATAAACCAAATTTTATAAACTGAAGCGTAGACCTAACTTTATGAATTGTATGTGTTAAGGTCAGGCGGCACAGATGATAAATGGTTCCATTAGCTATTTTTTGTTTGAGTTTTCAAATAATCAGGGGCACTTGTGGCTTATATGGGAAGTTGATTTGATGGGCAAAGGTATTTTTAAAAGTGTCCAAGACATTCTAATTCAACGCAATTAATCTTATTTAACTTTATTAGTTAACACATATAATTTGATTTAACGCTAAAGCAACAATTACCGCATTTATTTTCCAAAAATATTAATTTTTTATTATATTTATGCAGTCATCAGTAAAGCATTGACGCTTCACAAAATCAAAGCGTGGAATCAATTTAATTTAAATTGGTATAAAGCTTTTGTTTTGTTTTTGGCGTTTGCATGGGATTACACATTTATTCGTCTTCGGTATTATAAATATTAATGAAATATTGCTTGATATGTTTGATTCACTTGTGCCCAGTGTTTGAAATATAAACCGATGAAGTTGGTTTCGAGTTCCCAACCAGTTCTGAAGATTTACACATGACCAAAAAAAAAGAAGATTAATGGCGTGAGCTTAGATAATGAAAAATGTCAGTCATGATATGAGCAAAAGGTGCAATGAACCAAAGTGATAGAAAAAGTATTATACATAAATAAATTTCGTGTTGTTTTTTATTGATGGAACATTTTGCAAATGACCACGTTTTTGAAAATGATTGATTGGGTCATTAAGACATTAGGA